TTTTTGGGGCGGCGACAGTGCAACATGAAACCCATACCCAAATCCATACCCTCCAGAACTTTCACCCGTCGTCCTACAATTTTCCCAATCTCCTACTGATGGATCACATGCAACTGCCATTCTGTTTCGCTTTTTCATCAGAGTTCAGATTTTCCTTTTTTCTGCCTATTTTTTTTTTTTTGTTGCTTGTGACAACAATTTGTTTTAAAGCAGCAAGCAGACAGCGTAAACTTTTTAATTAATATCAAATATGAAACGTTGCCATATACCCACGAGCATCCCGGAAAAATGGCCCAAAATCAAAAACCTTCTGGGGAACTCGCAGAAAAAAAGACGAGCCTAACCAGAAGAAAGTGAAATGAGGCAGAGCTTGTTAAAAGTTTTAATTAAATTGATTGTCGCTTCTTTGTCTCCATTTCACCATTCTACTTTTACCTAATGTAAAATGGTTAACGTGCTCTAAAATATGTCACGAATGGAAATTAATTGCAATATTCAAACAGTTTCGAAGTACTAAAAGTATTAAGGAAGAAAAAGATATCCAAAAAATTGAATTCTTTACATTCCTCTTCATTTTTAAATTAAAATTTTTATATTGCAACTCAAATATTGCCTTAAATAAACCAAATGTCGACTTCTTGACTTGTAATTAAAGCACGTGAAGCCCACTAGTCAAGTGGCCAATACTACATGCCTCCGAACAAGGACACCGGCGGCGCTGACATTCCGGCCATCTGCCGTAGACGCCAACTGCTGTCGCCCGTAGGAGATGTTTTAACGTTACCCCTGTATATAACTCCACCAGCCTTCCACCGACTGCCATCCCGTTTAATGTAGTTGTAAATGCATAATGAGCCGCTCGGAGTCCCTTACCATCGATGAGCCGGTGATTTTTTAAAGCGGTTTAAAACGCGTGAAACGTTTCTTTTTTTCAATATCAACCTTTATATATATATATATATTCTTGATTTTACTTTAACGACGGCATGGTGAGTTCGTTCGTTTTGTCTTGCCTCTTTTTTTATTGACTGCTTTTATATTATTATTTAAAAATTAATTATACGCCACGTTGGCTCGTTTGGGTTTTTGCCGCATTACTTCGTCGCATTTTTACCGGTCGTTGCCGTTTTTAATTTAAATATAAAATATTGACTTGCCGCTACCCGACACCACCTCTTCCACATACATATTAAAAAATAGTTATCGCGTATTAATTTAAATTTACTTTGACCAGTCTGAGTCCGTCCTCATGTCCCTGCCAATATTATGGCACATCGATGGCTTTAAAGTAGAAAAGCCCTTCAAGTTTCTTTTAAGTTAGAAGTTTCTTGTTTATTTTTTGGGTACAAATGCTTTTATAGGGTTCAATACTTAATAAATTTTAAGGCATTTTAGGAAACATTCGTGCTGTACCCAAAAAAGTTAAATTAAATCAACGAAGTATTTTTATTAATAAATTATAGCTTAATCGTCGTTATTAATATATGATTTCCTAAAATCTACATATTTAAAGAGTTAAGTTAGAGTATCTTCTAGTTGGTTAACTTTTCTTAGGACTCCTATATTTTTTGTCTCGTTTGGCATTTCCTGCAAGGCGGGACCAAGACCGAGACCAGGACCAAAACCAAGACCAAAACGTAGACCAAGTGAGATCGTGTACGCGAGACTCATAAAATTGTTGGCTATTTGAACGTTTTTGTGCTGGCCAAAGCCAAGGCATTGAAAAATAAAACGCGGCCAGCAAAGGCTAATAGAAAGAGACAGACAGAGCTCTGAACCAAAAGATAGAGAGAGCGAATCGAAAATAGAGAAAAATCAAGCGTGGATGGCTGGAATTTCATACTGTTGGCATGGCATGGGTGTGTTAGTGTTAGTGTGAGTGTGTTATCCTTTGACAAGGAGCATAAATGTGGAAGCACCTCCTCCCTCAACGTCCTTTGTACCTTCCGGCTGCCATACCACCACGTCGATGTGTTGGCCATTTTATTATATTTGCTCTCAGACGTTTTTGCTCTAATACGAAAATGGGATTTTAGGATATAAAAATTATGATAGATTACCGTTGCACTCCCATCTAGTAACCACCACCCACAAGTCGCTTTTTTTTCTTGTGTTGCAATTGCCGCACACGTCCCCTGCAATCTACAACTTTTGTCTACACTGTTAACAGATTCTTAAAACTTTTCACATATTTTTAAGACCTAGAATTTGACAAAGTCCTTTCTGAGATTATTTTAATCGGCAACCAGCTCTGTTTTTATACAAATTATTTATATAATTATTAACTGCATAAAAATTAACAATTATTACCTTTAAGTTTAAGATATTTCTTCAACTGTTGTCCTTGTGCCATGCATCTTCGTGGAAATTGCGCCGGCTTAGCTGGGGAAAATCATTTGATGATAAAAGTGGCCCTCAATTACTTTGTTGCTTGTTGCACGTCGTTGCTTTTCCCCTCATGTGGTTGTTATTAAATTGAAGACTGGCAAAAAGTGGAAAACATCGTGGTGCAGAGGATGTGAAAGGACCTGGGAAAACAACTGACACACACACAATGGATCCATCTGAAATAACAATCATAATTCATTATGTTGACTGCTATATTATAATGCGAAATATATGGGGTTTTGATTCACTTTCAAATGGCAAACTCAATTTCACTTGCCAACTTTAACAATACTTTCAAGCTTACAATTTTCTTTTAATACTATCTATCAAGGTAAAATATTATTGTTACTGGGTGCGGTTCAAATTGCCCTTTAAATAGATTCATTAGTCATAGATAAAGAAGTTATCTCCTTGAAAAATAATGTACGGTTATATTCCCTATTAGCTTTAAATTTATAATAATTTATTGATTTACCACACTTTTTTTTTTTTTTATATTAAAAGGAAAAGCATTTAGGAGATCAAATACATTTATTTTATATATTTAAAGCTGTTTAAAATTTTAAAAATAATATTTATAGCTCTTCTACTGCATGACGGGTAGTATTGGAACTAACCTTCCGGCGCCATCTATTGCCATTTTAACGAAACTTGACAGAAAAAGCTTGTCAAAGCTTTTTAACATAGACGTTAACTTAACATTAAATTGGCATTACGTAGTTAACATCAAACTACGTAAACATTATTCTTTCATTTATTTAGTTTTAAACTTAGTTTATCTATCTTTATGGTCATTATCTCAACATTAAGTAGTTAAAGTTAATGGAATACTTTGTGAAGAACAAAGTTATCTGTGGTTTTCATTTTATTTTCCAGAACAAATGATAATATTAAAAACGTAAATAAAATTTTTAGTTATATTTAAAGTTTAGGTTATATCTATTTTGTGGTTACCAAAAAACAACTTAATTAAATAGGTCAATCCACGCAGTTTTTTTTGTGGTTTACAAAAATGATATAGTTACAAAATCTTTTCCTAAGCGAAACTTGATTAAGTTATTAAATAATAAATGTGTGTGAACTGCCCTTATAACTTCCCATTATGGATTTTAAGTAGGTTACATAATCAATTACACAGTAATATCATTTTCTGTCAATAAGTGAAGTCAAGCAATAGCTGGTATATGATGCCTTATCAATTATTGTTTTTTCATATACCAACCTGACAATCATGGCTTTTTGATTATTATTGCACTGCTTTGAAGTCAGATTTACAGACTTAATTGAAATTACATTTGACCTTGAGAGCAACTGAAGTCGTGTGGCAACTTTTTATGTGACACTTTCGCAAAGTTGCAAGCTATAAACAATGCGAACACAGTACACTGCCACAATAAATTTAGTATGGCAAACTAAACAGAGTAATTAATTTAGGTCATATTTGCACAATTGAACAAGCTTCTCAGATATTCGTGCAATAAATATTCTGTCATGAAACCGACTTAAGTGTAATAAAGCAAATCTAATTAAAAACCAAGTGCCACCCAGGTGACAATTGAAGCAACGGTGAAATCATTAGCTGATAAAATCAGCGGCAGCCAGTCAGAAAACACTTTAAGTTTTATCCAAACCGACTATTAGATATCCTAACGTTAACGTTTCACTTAAGTGATTTTCAAATGACCCGGAATTCATTGTATTTAGTAATCAATTTTCTTCGGTTGCCAAGTGCAGCCGACTGGGACGCGATGGTCAGCCATTGAGTCGCCTTCTCTTAGACCTGAAATTATTATTTTTTAATTGGCCAGCAACAAATTGCTTCATGCATTTGTGTGAGCCGCCCAGAGGTCACTGCGATTAACCAACCGCTCAAGTTTTGTACGACTTCAAATGAAGTCCAACTCAGCGCCAAAGCTTCTCTAAGGCTGCAACAATTAATCAAATACAGTGAGGCTTCAAAATACGTTTGCTAATGGGGGATATATTTTTAAAATTCTGGGTAAATAGAAAAATGATTAAATTATTATTGGTTTTATTTCTAATCTGTGAGAATATTATAAATTAATACATATTTTCTTCTTAACGTTATATACACTATATTAACATATATTCTTGTTAACTTAATATAGATAGATAGATAGCATTATAGATATGAATTTTTAAAAATATAATCAAACCCAATCAATAATAATATATGTTATTTGTTTTCCACAAGTACCACTGTACCCGTCTGGGTCCACCTGAAATGACTCAACTCTCTAACAAATGTCGCGTGCTGCCTTCGTACTGGAGTGAGCGGGAGGGGGCGAACACACTACCCGCCTGCTCGCACCTGCAGTGGACATTCTCCTTTGGGCCGCTCGCTAACAAGTGGCCTCCGGTAGTCGAAAAGCCGCGATTCAAACGCGAGTTTAGTTTTTGATTCAGTTTCAGGCGGTTCAGTGTGGCTTAGTCCAGCGCATTTGCTAAAAACGCTCTTTTAATTTCAGTTATTAACGGATTTGAATAATTTAGACAAAAATACCGTGTGAACTAGCTTTCGCGTGTGTGAAAAATTCTCTATATTTATTATTCACAGTTATAGTTTTTCAGTTTTTCAGTTGATATATAACTTTTTAAATAAATAATTAACTTAAACTAAATACTTAGCTCCAGTTAGCTAATTAAACAAAACTTACAAACCGAAAATGGGTAATTCCAGTTCCATTTGCGCCGATCGCCATGTCATAAGGAATTTCGATGAAAATGGGTAAGAAAAGAAGTAGAAATAGTGCATAAAGTATAGCTGAATAAAAGGCAATGACAAACTTAAAGTGGAACTCAAACTGCGAGAGGTGGCTGAGAAGTTAATGGATTTTTTTGTACTTTTCGGAAATATTTAATTCTTAATCATAAGACAAATCAAACAAAATTGGATTTTAAGATGGAAAAAATTATACTATAAAAAATACCACTGCAAAAATTAAGAAATACATTTTTTAGCTGTTCTCTGTTTTTTCAAAAATTATTGTGTAGATCCTCCATTCGATTCTTTCCCAAGCTTATAGTTAAACCCAGCAACTACCTAGCTTTTCCTAGTGCAAGCCTAAAGCAAACAACCGCCTAAGATCACGCCCCCTTCATAAATCTATTTCTTGAAGTATCATTAGTGTTTAATGACGCGGTTTATTAGTGTTTTATCAGCGATTTACGAGCGACTCATCGAAGTTCCTGTAAAAAATAATTTCTGGCACACGACACGCCGCTCATCAATATGAAATCTATCTTTAATTACCGATTTTCGAATTGCATACAAAAAACGAAAAGCCAGGTGTGTTTCGTCCTCGTCTATAAAAAGAGACTAACTGAATTCGTTACAAAGCGAAGTTGAGGTAAATTGTTAATATTTATGAAGGTTACTCGGACACACATGCATATCAGAGATATTCCAATTTATTCGACAGCCGTGTGTTTTACTTTCAATTTTTGTGTAATAATTGAATAGAGCAGCCAGCCATCGAAGCAAAAGCGTTATTAACCCACAGGGCGCATGAGTGACTCAAGTGCGAAGTGAGGCGGGGACTCAAGCGATTCGGGACAATCAAGGTTAAGGCTAAGGTTTCTATTAGATTCGATCCGTCTGATAATTAGGTTTCTGCCTTGAGCCGTCTCTTTAAATTATTTATAGCAATTTATATATCACGAATATTGGAGGCAATTTTGGTGAGAACTGATTATATACCCCTTAAGGTGCCTTTAACCTTTTATTACAAGAATTTAAAACACAATTTAAATTATTAGGTAAAGTAACAATTTTTAATTCCACGATTATTATATTTTTTTCTTTTTATTTCTAATTTGTAAAATTTTTTTTAATAAATGTTAATAAAATTTTTGGGATATTTAGCAATAACTCAAATAAAATAGGTTCTTATTATGTTAAAGTTTAGGAAATCAAAAATATTTAAAGCAAAAATATTTGCATTTAAAAATTATTATTATTATTTCGACCTCCCTCTTTCTCGTGGAATATTTTTCACATGCTATTCACGCCTCTTAGCAATGTTTTCCAGGTTTCCGACAAATGATTTTTAGACTGATAATTATGGTTGTTATTATGTGCTACAGGTTCCAACGTTTAACAGTGTATATACATTTAAGTGTTTGTACCGCCCTTATCAGTCAGCTGATTTCCCCCGCCTACGACTATGACCATTAACCGATCCAACTAATCACAGAAAGAGCGAAAAAGAGCGCGAAAATAACAAAACAAACATCGCAAAACTGTAAATGTAAAAGAGAAAAGAGACTCGACCACAAAACCAATCGAATAATGCGGTTCAGTTTAGCACGAAAGCTGCAGCAAAGCAGACAAAAACTGACATATAGCGAGATAGTTACCGGGGAAATCAATATCAAAAGTTATTATAAGACATATTGAAAACATCACTAGCGCACGTCATGTTCTCGATCCTCCAACGCTGTTCTGGAATCAGAAAAACCTTTGGACGGCTGTGAGTGGAATATGAAAAACAACAGAAATACATATGTAATATAAGTATACAGTAATTGGACCATGGAACTAGAGGGTGTGTTCCTGGATCAGAGATAATCTGTGTCACTTTGTCACCGCCTATCGGTTCCCATCTCGAAGGCCTGTCTGAAGTGCATCACCTCACCGGGTTCACTGGGGCTTAATAAAGCGCCTGCCTACATCTCCACTGATATGAACAAACAATGTATACTGCAAGGGCCACATATTCTGATAAAGCAGCTGGGTTGAAAAATACTCTAACCCTTTTTTCCTCCCAAATCTTCGATTTTATTTTATTATTGAAAAAAAAATTTAAATACCGATAAATATAGAAAAATTATGGTTTAGTGAATTTGTCACCTATCGATAGTGCCCTTGACGGTAGGGTATCTTAAAGTCGCCTTTATCAATGCCTTTATTGTCTCTCCCGCATTGACATTCATTCACACTCAATGTGCTCTGAGTTTCTTTTCTTTAATTGAATTATAGAGAACATATCTCACATGCCGCCAGCACAATTCCGTTATTGTCCACTCTCCCTATTTCTCACACCCAGCCTCTCTCACCCACTCACCCCTTGTTTTGTCTGCTCTTTCTCTCTCCCTTAGCACACCGGTATACCCCACAGCCAACAACTCCCAAAGTCCTTCCAATGGCCAAATAACGCCACTGCACACACACAATCATGGGAAAGAGCTTGGCTACTACAAAACCACAATTCCCGTTGGAAGTTCTCTGAGCGAGAGCAATAGTAGCTGCTCTCACTGCCGCCGAACAGCTGATATGGGCTCCTCTCACCCAATGAGCAACAACAACAACAATAACAACAATGCACACACACAACGCACGGAGAGCGAAACCTGTGCTTGTAGTAGTCGTGTGTGTAAAAATCATACGACTACAACGACAACCACACTCGAATACGAACTTTCCAATTTCGCAAAACTAACGACACGAATCACAACGCAAAGCGCCGCCGCCGAAGTCGCAACATCGACGGATACGGATAGGGATAGAAATACGAATTCAACGGATCAGGGTGATATAGCCATAGTGAGCGATTTGCCCAAGGGTCTGCCGTTATCCTCGCGACATCACTGGAATCAGCTGCAGCGCAGTTTGCACGCCCTCCACTACCAACAACAACAACAGCAACATCAGATACGTTCTTATAGTAGTGAATCCCATAAAGACTTGGAAGACGAGATGAGTAAATCAAATGCAGATCTGGATAAATACGCCAACCGTGATCGCTTGGGCATTTGGGGAACTGGCGATAATGAAATTGTTGGCAGCATCTCCGGATTTAACCGACTTTTCGACAAACGCTACTCAAAGGTAAGTTCTATGTGCTCTTTAAGTTATCCAGTTCCGTGTCGATACCCCGACCTCCCTTTCCAGTGTCTTAAAGTTTAGTGGAAAAGTACCAGCCAAAGGTTTTAGGGTGGGTTTGCTTACTCGGCTTTTATTTCTTTTCGGTATTTTTGGGTATTTTTGTTATTGGGTATCAAAGGGAGGGACTTTTATTAGAGCTCTGTGTTAGAGGGAAATTTATTTAAAGGTGAATAAACCCGGAAGTTTTGCTTTAAGTCCTTAAATTTTTCCTTTGTGGAAAGGGATCCTGTATCCTCTCGTTTTACTCGAAATATTTCTTTTTAATTTTACTAGAAATGGAAATGGTTTACTTTAAACATAGTTAAAGGAAAAAATAAGTACAATTGACATTAAATAATGATCTAAAAAACAATTCCAATCTCTAGCTGGCCCTTGTTCTTGAAAAATGTGTATATTTTTTGTAGGCCAGTTGCTATTTTTGGAGCAAGCACGAGTATAAAAAATTCCAAATCATAAATACATAAATAACTATTAAGCGGAAATGTCATCTGACGAATTCAGAGCAAAAAAAAAAGAATGATACTTTTTGGCAGTGGCTTCATTTTTCGGAAAGTGGTGTGGGTGACCTTTAGATGACATAGAGAGCGAAAGAGATGGCAAATACACGCGCCACTTTGGAAGACCAAAGCTCATGGTTTTGTTGTATTTTTTGGTTGTTTTTTATTTTTTTATGGTGCCTGTCAAAGGCACAGAAAATCGATAGCCAACTTTTATAATTGAGCCAATTAAATAGTCTGTCAAATAGTGGAATTATAGGGTATGCCGAGGGTTTTCACGTTTCGGTTACGCAGCATTTGAGTACGAATTTATCTCAGATTGCAAATTTCAAGTTCAATGCTGGTGCATTTGTTTTGTTTTTCCTGCTTGCATTGGCTTTTACGCTATTTTCCCACAGAGACATGAATGAGCTAATGCACGAATGGTGGCACAAAATTTTCGAGAGCCATTCAAAGAGAGAAGGCGCATGGGCTTTGGGTTTTGGTTTTTTGTTTTTTTAAATGAGATGAACAGTGAAAGAAAAATATAGAAAAATGGAATACATCTTTAATCTTTAAATCTTTAATTTTAAAAACTGTATAATATATAAACCATTAGTTCCTTTAAGAAAATCATTTTGTAATTGAAAAGATCAACTTTTAGCTGTTTAAAAAATATTACAAATATTTATTTTTTCTCAGCTAAAAATCAGTAGAAAAGTAGGATGAATCAGTAAACATTTTAGCTATTATTTTTTACTGTGCAGCACCTAAATAAGCAAACTAAAAAGGGGGAGAAATCCGTAATGTAAACAGAAGCTCTACTAAGAACAATGAAGAGGCTCTCCAAAAATGCTGTTTCCTCATAACAATTACAATCGCCATTCTGTCCACTTACGTCACAGGCCACAATCGCACGATTTTCGTTAGACCGAAAACTAATAATTTAACCAGAAATTATCTTGGTTGGTTTTCCTTATCAAGAGGCTGTCACTACAGCCACTAAAGTTTGTTATTATTCCTTACACGCTGCAAATAAGTGACACTTGTTTATCTCAATTTGATTCCATGAACAGCTGAGGTTTGTTATGATTTCCTTGTGTTCCCCCCATGGAAAGTTTTCAGGTTCTTATCTTTATTTTTTGCAAGCAAATCAAGTAAAAGCAAACATTGCTAAATCAAGTCCCAACCAGCGAAAACTGACCTACATTCAGTCATAAATTTAACTTTGTTTCGAACAGCAGAAATAGAAGAACCGAATGACAATAATCCCCACATCGCTTGGTATCAGCTGTATATATATTATATATATTTATCTGTTTGTTTGCCCCGACTAAATACAGTTAGAGAATACAAAATTATTTGCATTTATACTCGCTTGTTTGTCGCTTTTCCGCTCTCGCTTTTGCTGTTATTTATCGGTGGTCTCAGGAAATTAAAAATTTAAACAAATTCAAGCGGTCAATGTGCTGATAGAGCAGAAAGCTCGAAACTTGTTGAAATAGTTGGATTATTTCATTGTTTACTTAGTGATTTATCGCTATTGGTTGTTTATATTGGGCAAGCAGAGAAAGAACAATATATAGTGTACTTGTCAATAGGTAAATGTTAGGTGGATGCCTTGAAAAATTGATATTAGGTGCAAAAAGGTGTCATTTATCGAATGGAGTTTAAATAAACTTTTTTTTGCTACTTTGCTTGTTGGATAATGTATTTAAATTTCTATCATAACTTGAAAAAATTAAGAAATTATTGTTGCCACTTGTTTTATGATTTGCTGGGTTTATTCCACTGTGACTCACTCTTAACGCTATGATTTGCTTCCGTTTCCAAGATTCTATGTAGGATAGCCTGATTCACTGACTTGTTCATCCACCTCCATCATTCCACATCGTGTGACCCACAAAAGACTATAGTTTAACCTGCTGAGAAACTGCGAAAAACCTTTTCATCATCTCACCTTTGTAGGGGAAACAATTTGCCAGAGATTGCCTGTTGTTGCTGTGTCTGTTTCGACGCGTGCTGATTAAAGCGGCGCTTTCGTCATCCGAATCGTATTCAAAGTTCAGAGACAGACTGCCATTGATGGGCGACTTAATGATTAGCTATATTATATATAGTGATCATCATGATAGCGATCATAATGATCGAACTGGTCGCGCCAGACAGTGCAAAAAGCGAAAAGACAAAATCAAAATAATCAGCCGAGCTCGCGCTAATTTGTGTTTTGGGTTCGTTTTTGGTAGTTGCCCCGATTTCTGTCTATTGTCGTTATTTTTTTCGTTTTCTTGTTTTTTGCAATATCATGCGAAATGTGTATGCGTAATGCCGGAGTTGCCCATTACGTATACGCATGTCTGGATTTCATAGCTGAGAGAAAAATTAATAGCCTAGCCCTTTACACATGTTGTTAATTTTTAAAGTACACGGAAACCACTTTATTGCAAAATTTAACACTTCAAAGTGCAACTAAAGAAATTATAAGTCAAGAAATAAATTTATACAAATTTAAAATATTTTTATACCAATTAAATAACATTTTTCTATAATTTTCTAAGCTATTATTTCAATTCCGATACTTAACCTATGTTTGGGGGTTTTTATGTGTGTGGCAAGCTCGGATGTTTGAAGCAGTTGATGGGGAATGAACGTATATATACATATATATAGTATATATATAGTTGCCGAATGGAGAATGGGGAATACTTGTTGCTAGGCGGTTTGTAAACACTTTCGCACGCTTATCGACGGTCGTGCGTTGCTTTCAATGTCAACGGTGTCGTTCTCTCGATTTTCGTTCGTATTTCACCAGCCCACCGATGACGTAGCAGCAGCACGATAATGGTTAATTTCGAGGCTCTTCTGGCACTAAACTATTGTTTATGGGGATCACTCGAGTGGTTTATTGTGCAAATATCAGGTTCAGTACTAATTGAATTTAAGCCGACACGATACTTGACATATGAACTTGCCTCTAAATTGTTATAGGCCTTTATTAGTTTCAATTTCACTGTTATGAGAGGATTTGTTGTCATTTACAACCTACTTTTATCTACAATTCCTATGAAAGAAATTCGTTTTAATCGAAAGCTTCTTGACTTTAAGTTGTCATTTTCAGCTGACGAGCCCCTAAAAATTTATAAAACCTTCGTGGTTTTCACAATTTTAAGATAAAGCGTAATTTTCTTTGCCTTTCACCATGAATTAGCAAAATAAAAAACTCGTTTCATTTAAATTAAACTAATTAGTGGTGAAGTGGGAACTAGCTGACTCATCTACGTCTTACGAAATAATAAAATAATTAAATCTATGGAAGTATAGATTTTAACTTGTTCAATAAAAAAAATATAAAAATATTTAAATGATTAAATATATTTAAAAAAAAAACAAATTAGATTCACATTAAATATATTGCGTGTCAGAAACTAGACAAAAATTTTAATTAAATACAAAATGACTAAATTACAGATGACTTAATAAGTATAATTTAAAATAATAACATAATTTGAGATAAAAGCGATAAGAAAATTGAATTTGTTATGAGAAAGAAATAAGCTTGATTGGCTAAAAACTAAAAAAAATTATGGATAGCTTAAAAATACAAATTTACATAGAGAAATTACACATTGAAGGCTAACATCAAATGTCCCAAGAGTCTTGTAATTACCTCTGACATTATGAAAAGACTTTGAAGGGTCACGACTTATTAAAAAAAACAGCTGCCACCAGTAAAGCTAGTGTAAGCACAAATAATTATTCTTTAACGTGCATATTAGCAGGTACATCCGTTATTTAAATGCCACATAATCTAACGTAATTTGTGTTTGAATGCCAACTTGCACGTATTTTTTATCGAGAAATGTGACCCAGACAAAAGTTTTGCAGCAACGCCCCCAACATATTCTCCGTGTTGTTTTGACCATTTCGATTATAATTCCAGCAACTACAAAGCAAAAACTTTCAAAAAACTAGTCGTAATTGTGCGTGTGAAACGAGGCCAAAGCTGATTCACTTCCCCTCAGAAAAATATATAGTATATGGTGTTTATATTAGAGATCCCAGTGCAAATCGCATTTCTAAAACTTGACTTTGAACTTGAAATCCGACTTGTGCCTGGGCGATAGATCGATCTAATCTGTGAAGGTCGCACGATGATGATGGTGGCCAGTTCCAGTCGGAATGTCTAGATGATGTAGGGGCGCGTGCTCGGGAATAAAAGCTAACGATAAGCCCATGCAAACTTTTCCACCATCCCACTTTTGTTTGTTTTTGTTTGAAAGGTTTTTTCTAATCATTTTATGGGGCGATCAGGCCATTCAAATTGAGTACAAGCATCAAAATTTGGAACTATTTATAGGTAAACATAATAAGGTATGATTTATTATGGAGTTGATTAGATGTCTAGACCTAAAGTTCTATTTATAAAAATGTTTTTTAGATTTTTCCCAAGCCCTAATTATGTATTTCTTAAGTTTTAAGTATCAACAGGAAACTAATTCTGTATCTTCTTTAATTCTAGGGCCTGGCTTTCACTCATGAGGAGCGCCAGCAGTTGGGAATCCATGGCCTCCTGCCCTACGTGGTTCGGGAGGGAAATGAGCAGGTAAGTCATTGCCGTGCTCTCTTGGATCGTCTGGAGCAGGACCTGGACAAGTACATGTACCTGATCAGTCTGTCCGAGAGGAATGAGAGACTTTTCTACAAAGTGCTTAGCTCCGATATTGGGCACATGATGCCTTTGGTGTACACCCCCACCGTCGGATTGGCCTGCCAGCGTTACAGCTTGATCTACATGAGCTCCAAGGGCATGTTCATCTCCATTAAGGATAAGGGACACGTCTACGATGTGCTGAAGAACTGGCCGGAAACGGATGTTCGTGCTATTGTGGTAACGGACGGTGAGCGTATCCTGGGATTGGGAGATCTGGGAGCTAACGGCATGGGTATTCCTGTGGGCAAACTGTCTCTGTACACAGCCTTGGCTGGCATTAAGCCATCGCAGTGCCTGCCCATCACCTTGGATGTGGGCACCAATACCGACAGCCTTCTGGAGGATCCTCTGTACATCGGTTTGCGCGAACGCAGAGCCACTGGAGAGCTCTACGATGAGTTTATCGATGAGTTCATGCACGCCTGCGTCCGTCGTTTCGGCCAGAATTGCCTGATCCAGTTCGAGGACTTTGCCAATGCCAATGCCTTCAGGCTGTTGTCCAAGTACCGGGATAACTTCTGCACCTTTAACGATGATATTCAGGGAACCGCTTCGGTGGCCGTGGCTGGACTGCTGGCCTCGCTGAAGATCAAGAAGACCCAGTTGAGGGATAACACACTGCTGTTCTTAGGCGCCGGAGAGGCTGCTCTGGGTATTGCCAACCTGTGTCTGATGGCCATGAAGGCTGAAGGTCTGTCCGAAGAGGAAGCCAAGGCGCGCATCTGGATGGTGGACAGGTAAATATATAAAAGGAATAATAATGCAACGTAAAGACTTACTATTTGTATCTTTTAGCCGTGGTGTCATCGTCCGCGATCGCCCAAAGGGTGGACTCACCGAGCACAAGTTGCACTTCGCCCAGCTTCATGAACCCATCGATACTCTGGTGGAGGCTGTGCGAAAGGTGCGTCCCAATGTGCTGATTGGAGCTGCTGCCCAGGGTGGAGCCTTCAACCAGGAGATCCTCGAGTTGATGGCCGATATTAACGAGACCCCGATCATCTTTGCTCTGTCGAATCCGACCAGCAAGGCGGAGTGCACCGCCGAGGAGGCGTACAACTTCACCAAGGGTCGTTGCATCTTCGCCAGTGGATCTCCCTTCGCCCCCGTGACGTACAACAACAAGAAGTTCTATCCTGGCCAGGGCAATAACTCCTATATTTTCCCTGGAGTGGCTCTGGGAGTTCTGTGCGCCGGCATGTTGACCATTCCCGAAGGAGGTCTTTTTGGTCGCCGCAGAGCGTTTGGCGGAGCTGGTCTCGAGGGATGACCTGACCAAGGGCAGCTTGTACCCACCACTCAACTCCATTGTCAGCTGTTCGGTGGCCATTGCCGAAAAGATTGTGGAGTATGCCTATAAGAATGGATTGGCTACAATCCGCCCCGAGCCGGCCAACAAATTGGCCTTCATCAAGGCCCAGATGTATGATCTGGACTATCCCCGCTCCGTGCCCGCCAACATACAAAATGTAAATCCAGATGGAGATCCATTCCGCCTAACCCCCAGAAACCAAAAGGAGTGGCCATCGCAAATATTCGGCAAGGGCGGCGAGCAGTAACCATGTTATTTATTTTATAATGTCGCACATCTGTCGTCTAGCATATAGCAAAATTTGTATCGCGCCTAACCAACCAACAACTTATCCACCAACCACTAGCCCCTGTTCGCAGCCCCATAGATTATTATTATTATGAAAGAAAAAGGAAATTATGGAATGTCATCAAGCAGCGGCTTTATAATTTTGTCTGATGTTGACTCTATGTAAATGGGAAATTGATCTATATAGATATGTAAACAAATTTTATGTAATCTTGAAAAACACAAACTACTCTAAGAATCTACAAATAAAAAAGTATAAATAAAAATACCCCAAATTTATGTTTTTGTACGATTGAAACGTTTTCTGGTTGAGATTGTTTTTTTTGGTTAAAATAGAACAAAATCTAAGCTTTTTAAAATATAAAATTGATATCAAAGATATAATTTAGCAAAATGTATAGATTTAGCTATTTATATTATTTGAATATTCAATTTAAAAGATAACTGATCCGCTGGAAAAATCGATAATAACGCAATTAACATCGATAAATAGCTCTTTTAATAAAGATGGACTTAATTTATAACTGAAATAAAATTCGTAACTAAAGACACGAAAAATAAAAATATGTATGATTAGGTAGTAAACTATATTATACTGAGGCCATTCATGTTTTTTCTTAAGTTGTTTTGGCAAAAAATATAGAATAATACTGCAAATCGCTAAAGCAGGCCATCCACAGCATGTTCGCGAGCATGTTGTGCTCGCCGAAATTTTTCTCGTGGATGGTAGTGTTCGTCGTCATATTTCGTGTTCGCAAACATGTTCGCATAAAATTGAATTCATTCTATTTTGTCCATGTTCGAAACAACATGCTCGCCAATGGATGGCAATTGTGAGATCGGTTCGTAGAGACAAGACGTGTTTGCGGAGCGCAAAATGAGCCGAAAATTTCTGCAAGAATTTATTGTTTGCTTAGAAAATGAGCCTGCTGTGTGGAATGCAAAATGCGAGGCGTATAAAAATAAAAATTTGCGAAATAAAGCATGGGAAGTGCTATTAGAAAAGTACAAAGAAATTGATGAGCGCGCCACAATAGACGAAGTTAAAAAAAAAGTGAACTCTTTGCGGGCGTCATATAGACGAGAAATACGAAAAATAAAGAGAAGTGAAAAATCTGGCGCTGGAACGGACGATGTGTACCAGCCGAGTCTGTGGTACTTCAGCGACCTTTCTTTCCTGTATGAAACAGAATCTTCGGTCGATGGAATCACCAGTTTTGATGACGGCGAGGAAAATGAAATAGTAAGTATTTTAAGTAAGTATTAAGTAAGTATTTTATAAGCAATACCTTAATTTGGTATCTAAAATTATAAATATGAAATACGTAATTAATTGTCAATTTTATTTTTTAGCCGAAGGCACCGAAACGAAAACATGATGAATCATCAGAGTCCCTACAGAAGGCAGTAACGCACTTGGACAACATAAGGGAAAAGCAACCAAAATGTGAAGCTGACATATATGCTGAAGGATGGGCTGCCATGTTCAAGCAGTTGTCAAAGGAGCAGCAGCTTTTTGCCAAAAAAGGCATAGACGAGCTCCTTATGCAAGGCCGTATGGATATGCTGACGTATCAAGGGGTGTCAAGCATTGCAAACATTCCAAATAAAAAAAAAAAAAAAAAATAAAATTGCAAATTTATTTAACAGCGACGAATACGTATAAACCAATTCATATGTAGTGTTACAAAATATAAAAAATAAAAGCTCTGGGGAGAAATTCGTGTTAGGAATTTCTCGTCTTCATAACCACTAGCTAAAAACCGCAAAGTCGCTGAAAGGCGTTCGTATTTATTGCCATCACTAGTTGGTGGCAAATGAAATTCAAGTTCACAAGCATGTTCGCCAACATGCTCGCCTGCGGATGGCCTACTTAATGGTTATATACATAGCAAAATCTAGCTATAATAAAGCTTACTTAAAAATACTAGTTGGAATACCCTTCACCACCGCATGCTGTCGGTATTTTTAGTATTTTAAATACAAGTAGTGTTGAATAAAATATAAAGCCTTTCTAAACAACAAAAGGTGGAACATGCAAGTGCTCAAGGTGCGTGGTGTCAATAGATCGGCAATAAACTATAGAATATAGTCTAAATATAATGTATTCAATTTTCATTGCAGCTAGGTATTGAGCAACGCCAATTGGCGGACGACCTTAAGCAGAAACAGGTGAGTGCCGTGTCGAAAAACAGAGGCTATAAATAAAATACCTTAACTAATGCTTAATGCATAACAAAACCAGGTAATCCAGGATCGCCTGCTGCAAAAGATCCTGTTCTCGAAGCGCCTTCTGGTGGACCATGTGGAGGCACTGGAACAATGCATGCAAGAGCTGCAGACCGCCTCAAATCCCGGCCGGCAATTGCTGACCCCAAGGAATGCCTGTCTGATATTGGGAGGCACTCTTTTGGAGCACCTGATAACCCCCAGGGGCATTCGGTATACGATGGTACCATCCATCCTTATAACCGGCACCTTTGCTGCCTTGTGCGCTGTAAAGAGCGTCTTCGTTTGCCGTAATAAAATCGTGGAAAGAAAATTGGAGCAACTAGTCAAGACCATCGATGAATTCGGAAACTGCATCCGGCGGAATATGACTTACTTTCAAGAGATTATTATCATGAAGCAGGCTGAGTTGATAGAGTAAGCATATATATTAAGTCTTAGTAAGAATGTTACCAAACATAATCCTCTACAGATCCCGCCAGATTGAGCGTGCCTGGGATTGCATAACGGCCGCCAAAGAGGTTACCGAGATCTTATATGATGCCACCCGCAAACTGGAGACGGATTATCCGCTGCCGGCGAAATACGGATCATATTATGCACCGATGGAGGAACTACGGGAGTGCGAGTACTTCAAGAATAATGTCACGGACTACAGTCCCAAGCACATAAAGGTATGCAGGAGATTGATTGCAGAAGATAGTTTTTAGGGCTAACAAATAAGAGTAGTTACTTAAAAGTTGCGGCTCTATCTTATATTTAAGTTTCCATTAAACTTAGAAACAAATAGATGTCGGTTAACTAAAAAAATCAAAATAATGCAATAAACAAGACTCCTTTTGCTTATTCACAGTGCACTTTGTAATCTTTAATGACGCACTCAACTGATAGCAAAATTATATATTACTTTTGTAGTCATTAAGCCGATTAAAGTTGAATGCGGTAGTAGAGAGCCATAAACTGTGTTAAATAATATCATAGTCAAAAGATTTACTATAGGTTATCTTCTGCTTAATGATTAACGAATAATTACTTAGAAAAAATATTTGACAAATTTTAAATTTTTCATAGGATTTTCACAATATCTTTGCCTACGTGCAGTCACAGTACCTGCTTCGTCTGGCCCTAACCATCACCACTCGCCCATCGATTTCCCAGCTAACCGAAGATCTGGTAAGGATCGACTGCCTAGTGCGACAGTTGGTGCAGGAGGAGGAGCAGCATTTTAGCAATCTAGCAATGGCCATGCAGAACAAGAAGCAAATGGAACTGGCCGAGTTGAATGCCACCAAAACTGAGCAGCAGCGGAGTGGACCCATTGCCGTGCTGCAGCATTCCTCCCTTAAACTGAGTGCCTGCATGGTAGCCGTGGCCGGTGAATGCCAAGCTCTGGACGTGACTCTTCAGCAACTTACTGCGACGGAGGCGGCGAACAGAAATAACTCAAAGGAGCTGGTGGCCGTGGCCAATAATATGCATGGTATCGAAAATGCCTTAGCTGTTTGTTGTGATGATTTCCAGCGATTGATGTTGGTTTACAACAAATTCCTGCACAGCCAGCTGGATTTGGAGGGAGAGTTACCAAAACCCAAGCAGGATCTGGATGACGAATTCCCCGAGAGTATCCTAAGGGTAGAGTTCTCCCAGAATGTAGATGGACCGCAGCAGAAAGATGATTTCTATGCCTACATGTACGATGAAAACGATGACCATCAGTTCGAGGCTGAGCAGAATGCTCCTTTTCCTTCACCGGAAAAGGAACTGCTTAACTTCGAAAAGCGCATTACCAAAGGCAGGTTTAAGCCTGTACTCAAACAGCTCAAGGATCGCATCGATCCCATACGACAGGTAATGCTGGAGAAGGAGCGTGAAGTTCTGGAATCCAAGGGCATAAATGTGGACGAGCTCTTTGGCAAAATGGAAAATATGGAGCAAGAACAGAAGGACAACCGACTTGCAGATGCTAAAACCTCTCCGACCTATGATTCCTCCTCCTCTAATTCGGATTCAGATTCTGCCGACGAAGAGGTCTTCAAGCGACGCAGCAAACAGCACAAGGAGCGTGATAACTTCGCCGAAATGCGTCAATTTCTGGCCCAGAAGCAGGCCATCAATCTGTTTAACTTACCACCATCACCTGTGGCCGCCGCTGAAGAGGAGCTGCTCGAAAGTGAATGCTAAATTGATCGTTTTTTTTTTTGTTGGTCACATGCCTACTATCTCCTTTGCTCTGGGTATTATCTCTGTTTAAGCTTTTATCGGTTATCTGGCCAACTGGTCAGATAAACTCTTCGCCAAGCGATGCCACTTCAGGCTGAAACCCATATCCTGCCCCTTGGTTGTTCCTTTGTTTACGTTTCCTAAAGCAATTTTATAAACTCAAGAAAAGTTTTTAAGTAGATCAACGATATGTGAGCAAGCTTTGCGGAAATCTGTACATTTTAATTTGACTTCTAGTCGAGCATGAATTTCTTTGTTTAAACTACTTTAACAGCCTCTTAATGGACAAAGAAACTATTATTATATTTTAAATATTAAAGTTGACCTCAAAACATATGTATAAACCACTTCTTCATAAACTTCACATAAGAAAACAACTTTTTGTTTGTAGTTTTCATTTCTTAACGAAGTAGATAAATAAAAATATGAACATTAGTTTTTACCCATATCCAAAGATATCAAAGGTGAAATTGATTTTGAAAATGTTTTATTACACACTAAATGTTTGGAACTTAAGTACAATACAAACATCGATGGCATCACTAAATACTAGGGGGTTATAGATTTAAGGGTACTGGGAATAGGAATCGGAGGATTAGCTCCATTGTGGGATTTAATACAGAGGAACACCTATATATATACATGATAGCACGCACAGGAAGTCTTTTTTTCGGTTGGATTCGCAACACTGTCGTGGAAATCTTTGGCTCGAAACTTGTGCAGCTAGCTCGGATTTGGAAACCGAATTAGGATCTTAATACCGTTCTAGGCATTGGCAGCACCCGTGGTGGCACCACTGTTGCTTCCGGCATGGACGTTGTTGAATTTACTGGCCACCGAAGCGGGTTGCAGCTGCGAGAATTGCGACAGATTGCTACCCCTTACGCTGGTGTATCGAATGGGTTGTACCCCATAATCACTGCCCTTGAGACGCCGTCGTATACAGACCACAACGAATCCGATTACCAGGCCAATTACTAGAACAATACTGGCTATAATGGCGGTCAGTATAATATAGCGACGTCGCAGGAATCGCGGTGGCTCCTCATCTACTTCACGGTATTTCTTTGGTATCACCATCGTACAGATCCTTTGCGCTGTCAAGTTGGAGAGCCGTGATCCGGCGAGTAGATATGGAGTTTCACAACGGGCTTCGGCACTATCTGTTTCCCGTTCGATGTGGGAAATTCCAGTTAGCTCCAGGGCTTTGAAGAGTTCGCAACTGCAGTACCAAGGATTTCGCGAGATACTAAGTCGACGAAGACGTGGCCAGGGTTCTGTATTATTGGTACTATTGTTAGAACTGGAGATATTAAGGGTCAAAGTGCTCAATGCATTCCTGGACAAATCAACTTGCGACAAGTTCCGACTACTTAGCAAATCCTCCAGCTCCAAGTGTTCCAATTTGGGATTTCTGGAGCAATCTAGCTGCTCCAAGGCAGGCAAATTCAATGCTCCCTTCTCCAAACTTCTCAAAGATGGCATGCCACTGATATTCAGTCGTTTTAGAGATTCCAAGCCATGAAGACTGTTCTCCTTGAAAGTCAGGAAGGTATTCCCAGCCAAATTTAGTTGTACCAACGCCTTGCTTAACTGCTGGAGGCTGGCAGGAATTGTACTAAACTCATTTCCTGAGACATCTAGGATACGGAGGCTGGCCAACTTTGGAAAAAGCTGTGGTGGCAGGGTCATCAACCCATTGCTAGAGATATCCAATCTTTGCAATGTAGTAACCGATGCAATAGCTGCCGTAGTGGCTTCATCTAGGGAACTCAATTTATTGTAGCCCAAATTCAACCTGATCAAATGTGGAGTGTGCTCGAAGAGCCGCCGATCCAGACGAGATATTCGATTGTGGCTCAAGTCCAGATCCCGTAATCCAATCGGCTCGTAGCGAGTGTTGCGGAAAGGACCTCTAAAGAGATCCGGGACCAATGCATCATTAGTTAGCTCATTCCAGCTGAGGTAGAGGGCCTCCACATTGGGCACGTCCATGAAGAGGGGAGCCTGCAGATCCTGCAGACCACAATGCCGGCAGGAGAGGGTTAAGGTGGCATTTGTGGCCGGCAGCTGTTGAAGTAACTTAATCCTATTGCCCGAGTATGATACCACTATCTCCGAAGAAGCTCCTGCCGCTATCGCTTGGCTTCCGAACTCCTGTGGCCAGCGGGCCAGGATATGCTCAAAATTCCTCACCGAGCAATCCAGGTTGAAGTGCGTCGCACGATCACTATCCTGATTTCTCAGGCATACGCAGGTCTGGCAGATATCGGTCACCGGTTGATAAGGGATGTCCTCGTGCTGGCCTTGAACTGCGGTAGCCAGAAGGAATACCGTTTCAGTAAGGAGCTGCAAGGAGACAATGAGTTAAGTAATTTAAAATTGCCAATTATGTTTATGGTCACTGAAATATAGGGTCACTTATTATGATAAATTTTTGCCAAATTTTCATCATTTTATCATCAAATTTGAACTTTCAATGAAAAATTGGCCTGAGGTTGTGTTTAAGATTTGAATTCGAGATGTAAATGAATCATTTTTGTCTTTTGCCTTTTGATTAATTTGCATTGAAATCTATAAGAATAAAATTAGAATGTAATTAAATTATAAAATAGAAAAACTTTAACCAGAAATACATTTAAATAAACAATATGTTTATAAAAATTAAAGAAGTAAATGATGCATTTATATATATACCAAACTTTGTTTACAAATTTGTCTTTATCTCTTTCATCGAGTACGAGAAAGAAAAACATTTGAGAGTGCTGATTACCAAAAAAGATTAAAGTATTTCCCGGAAAACCAACCTGAGTAATTTGCACGTGTTATTGTTCCTTGATAAACTTTGCTACATATTACATACATTGTTCTGACCGTGGCCGGGCTATTATACATATATCTGCATCTGATTCTGAGCTGATTCTCATATGTCACGAAAAGTACAAGTTTTCAGACAGACGAAAGTACTTTAAAAGACCAGTAAGGTTGGCGCCAATTATATATGTAATTAAATTGCTAAAATCAAGGGGTTCGACAGCTGAGACTTGTGAAGAAATTCAATGCAGTACTGCAAGACCAGACTTTTATAGAATTTTTGCATAGAAAAGGTAATTTGATGGCCGTTGAAAGGAAAAGTAAATTGGCATTTACTTATATATAATTGATGGAATTTTATACTTAGCAAAAGTATAATCTAATGTATGACAGGGTTAAACTAAATAATCTTGTTTACTCAACCTACAAAAAATCAATCATTTCTGGGTCAATATAAAAAACAAAGAAAATAAAAATGTTCTTGATGTTAACAATTGATAGATTTAATCATAAAATAAACAAACAAATATATTTCACTTTAAAGTATTTTGAAATAGATTTAATCAAAAAAGTACTCATAGTACATTTTCGTTCTTTGATATCCTTTATATACATTCATCTAATATAAGATAGTTTCCATTGTTCTGAACTCCTTTATTACTATGTAACATAGTCCACCTGAAGGACCTTGATCATGATTAAATCAAGCAAAATATCCTCTGCTTTGGCTATCAAACATAGTGAATAAAAGATTTCGGCCATTTTTCTCAATTTTTCTGCATTATGTTGCATTTTCTTTAAAATCTTGGAATATATTGTAATCGGTATCCGTGCTACGGCTTCTTTCAAGAATCTTAAAAACATGAAATTATATTTTTGAAAAAAATTTTTGGGTTTTATCTTTGAAGGAAAACCCAAAACTAGAAGGTAATGTGTACTTAAAATTCTTGACATATAAACAAAACAAATATGAATCATCTGATTGACTCATACATCTCTAATAACCTATGACATCCTATATTTTTTAACTGTAAATTGAGTGTCCGAAAGGAGGTCATATCATCAGTAGTTGTGTTTAATAAAAAGGTCTCCCCATACTTCAGGTTTTTTTTCAGGGAACAGCTTTATAGGAAATACTCTGTGATCCCACTATCTGAACCGAAAGTATGTGCGATAAGATAAGGTTACTGTTTTGGAAAGGCTGAAATATTTACTCACCAATAGCAAAAATTTGTGCTTCATTACGGTATGGGCTTCGCTTGTTTCCCTACTTAAGCGTTACAAATTTCGAGATCTGTTAGTAACTTTATCTATATCTTCTTTAAATTGCACTTAAGATTTTTCGTTATTTTTCTTTAATATTGTTTTTTTTTTATATTTTTCACTTCAGGCAGCACTGAACTGCTCTCTTTGGAATATAGAACTAAATTAATGATTCAAGCCGCCGTGGACTGTTGGCATTATTTGTTTTGATTAGATATCGGCGGAGAGAGAGATAGTGAGAGTATGTCTCTTTTAGGTTCCCTCTCGATTCTCTCGCATGCTCTCTCTCAGCTGGAAATGATCACTTAAGTAAAAGTGAATTCTAATTGAGTCATCGTCGGGGTCTACTGTTTTTTGGACTCTCAGAACACATTTCTTCCCCCTCTATCTCTGCACCTCTCCACAAGGTCGTTAACGTTGCTTTTCTTGCTTTCTTCGCCAGCTAATTTGTTCAGAGCCCACTTTTAACCTGGTTAAAAAGGAATCTCTCTACAAAAATAGCAAAAACAGGTCAACATCCCTAATCTCTTTTTTTGTAAATCCTACTAATTTAATTATATATAATTTTGAGGTAAGTTTTTGGTTGGCTCATAATTATTTAAGATTTTTCAAAATTTAAATTTGTATGCTTAACACATTACTTTTATTGGTAATTTTAAATTTTTAATCTCCAAAAAATATTAAAAAAGACAATCATTTTTCTTATTGCATTTTAATAAATTTTCAATTTAATAAAATTTAAAAAAAAAAAACATTTTTATAAATTCAGTTATAAGTCAAGCTATAGAAGTTTTACTGTGCTTCGAGCTGATTATTCTAAGATAAGATAAGACTTTGTCTCTCGATGTGGCAACAAATGGCGTTGGAGCCCAAACAACAGAATGCTGAGCTCGTTGAATCAACTGTGGGGTTGATTCTCAAACTGACTTTTGAATTTTGATTCACCAATTACATGCGATCGCAATTGCAAGTGTCACTTGGTTTCATTGAACTTGCTGGCTGGCAGCTGGAAGGGGGAGTATCAAGAATCGAGAGCAAAGAATTGAGAATCGAGAACGGAGAATTGAGCTGTTCGCAGCTGCCAACGATGAGAAAGGCAAACAAGAAGTGTTTGTGGCTCTGGAATTGGTTGCATAAACAAAACACTGACGAAGTAAACCGACCGCAGCCAGACCAATGTTGCCCAGACACTTGTGACTCACGATCGTACTGAAAGCAAATACAGTGGACACTAAGATAAAAAAATTTATAATTTTTATTAATTTTTGCCATTAATGAAATCTTAAGCAAAAAATGTTGGGATAATGAATGAACTTTTTGATACTAAAAAGCATTCTTGTTTCAAGCAAAATAGAAATGTAAACATAGATAGGAAAATCTTAAAAAATGCACAAAATTCATCATCTAAGGTTTCGATTGGTTGAATTTGTAAAATCACTTTAACTAAAGATAAGTTAGATTATTTAAAGAACTTTAATCAATAGTTCCTATTTATAAAACTTCTTAACAAAACTGTCCATTTATCTTCCTTTGAAATCTACAGGCAAACCCTTTCTTTTAAAAAAGTGGCATCCAATTTATATTTCTTGCTGTATTCTTATCTGGTATCTACTGTGAATGTTCTCTCAAGAGATTTGATCTCTGTCGCCTCTCCTTCAATTGGTTTTCTTTCAAATAAGCCGCAGTGGAGGAGAAGAAGAAAGAGGAGTCACATCCGTGGCTGAGTTCCATGTGCTTACTAGTCGTTAGTCTGTGTTTAATTTAATGATTAAGGCTTTTTGCATATTCCGTGAACTGCACGCGACCCAACCGCACACACAATTCAAATAAATGCCCGACGAGTGCAAATGAAACCCGTTTGTGTTTGCTGCGGTTACTGATGATGTTGGTGCTCCTGCTGCTGCTGTTGCACTTTTGCAGCTGCTTGGGGAATGATGCTCATCCTCTTCTTGAAATTAAAAACACGCGCGAAGATCTAAAACCGAAAGCGGAAACCCCTTTTTCGTAGAAAAATAACCAGCGAACGATCTCTACCTGTCCGCCGCTCGAATCGAACTGAACAAAAAGCTGAAACTGGAAATTTGCTGCTGCTGGATCGAGATTCCCGTTCCCGTTCCCACAAAAAAAAAAAAACAAAGTGGACACAGTGCTCCCCCCGAAAAGAAAACCGGTCGCGGGGCTCACTGGCCGAATTTGAAAGCGAGACTGTGGCACATTGTTTATGCCACACAGTGCCTTTTTGATGGGGGCAATATTAATGGCTGGCAGCTGCACTTCTCCAAATGTCAGGGCTTTAAATGGGAACCAACCGGAAATGGTATCCAGACCATCACCATTGGTCGTGACGAAACCATTTCCTTGGCGGTAATTTACAAAAGTATATCAATACCATAGACATTAGCTAGAAACAAACATTTATACAGAACAAGGTAACCGAATTAGTAAACTGAGCCTATCTAGAATGCATATAGTAATCGATGGCCGTGGAGAAGGCTGCGAATCCCAGTCCACCGATCACGCCCGCCTTGACGCCAGCCCGCAGGCCAATCAGTCCGCCGGTAATGCCTCCGGCATAGGTGCCATTCTTCCAATCTGTCACTCCTCGATGCTGTAGGATTAGATATTGTATTATAAAGAAAATATATTTTTAAAATTATAAACTCACACTTTCGATGGTGCACTCTACGGCGGAGAATACACATCCAATCAGAGCAAAATTCTTTGCATAGGAGTGAGTGGTAGCCCTCATTTCACGGAACACCTCCCGCGCTGTTTGCTTCTTCTCATTCGCGAAGGGATCAGCCATGCTAGGATTAACAGAGGCACTGAACAAACCCAAGGCGGCACCCAGTCCATAACCTGTAATGGGAATTATTTTAATTCATAATTAGAATCAATAATCTTGAGAAAAGATAATATGGTTTGAACCGAAGGGTCCATATCCATAACTAATTGCAAATTTATAAAAAAGATTAAAGTAATTACACTTGTTACTTTCACTGACAACGACAAACAAATTTAAAGACATTGTTGTTAAAATATTACACTTTAGGTGTATCATGAGAATCTGATAGGCATATAAATAAATAAATACCCATAACCTTAAGCGCTTGATTGTAACCCACCCATCACACAGGCCATGGCGCACTTGAAGCCGCAACTTTCCACCGCTGTCTCTATGTACTTCTCCTCGTTGGTCTTGATCTTCACCGGGCCGTTGCTCTTAGGGATAACGATGTTTTCGCGGTAGTGCTGCATGTTTCCCACATATTGCATGGCCATTCGATCCAAATCTGGATCACCAAACATCCTTGGTGCCGTTACTGGCGTTTCATTGGCGTTGGGCAGCACGGACATTTCTGCCAAAACAATTCTATATGGATTTCTATTCAGAAAAACCAATTTTGTTACGGGCCAAACGTGTTGGTTAAAAAATAAAAACCAAGTTATTATCACATCTACGAACAGCTGTTTGGCAGGGCTGAACTATGGTGAGGCCTAATGGTTATCGATAAAAAAAAATACTTAAAATACTCCATACCGATTGTTCAAAAAAATCTGGCATCGGCGGGAAAGTACCTTTACCAATTTTTTTTGGTGTAAAACCAGGTTTCAAAAAGGTTTCTTTTAACTTCCTCCAATATTTATAAAGATGCACTTAAATTTTTATTAGATATTTTAGTGAAAATAAAAAATTACAAATTATTTGTAATTAAGGGAGTTCGTTTATGGAAAAACTGGAGTGGTGCCTATGAATTTGGATATCAAAAATGCGTTTACTCAGGTCGGTGCATGTTTTCTTCATATTCGCAATTTTGGCGCGTCGATTTTCTATGTCGGCCATACATTTGTCATAATCGTACATCAGTCCAACCTTAAAGAGCAAACCTCCCTTGAGCTCCAACTTTACCCGCTGGGCCTTCAGTCTGGCATGCTCCACTTGAAGACTCGTCAGCTCCTTGCGCAGCCTGTTTCGCCGTTCGAACCGGTCGGCGTACTCTTTCTTGGCCTTAGCTAGCATATAGGCAATCATGTCTCGCTTCTCCCTGATGCATGTCTCCTCAATCATAGACTTTTTGTAGTTGGACTGCATCACCGCTACGTCCTTGCATTTTTCTATACGAATTAGTTTTTAATATTTTTTTGGTTCGTTTTCTATGCATAACTTAAACTTACCCTCTAATTGCTTGCTTAACTGTATTATGGATTCATTGGCACATAGCATTTGGGAAATGGTCAGTGTCTCAGTGACTCTCTCAAATTTCATTACTTTCTGCAATGTATTATTAATGAGAAGGGTTTTGTAGGAATGCATGATTATATTATAATTATAATTATCGAAACCTACCTCATCGACAAAGGCCAATGTGTGAAGGTTCAGGTTGAGCTCGTAGCGCTTCTCGCTGATTTGGTTGCGTAAGTCCTGCATACGCCTAAGATCATTGTCCAGGGCGCGCTTCAGGCGATCCATATCCCGGCGGATAAGGGTCTTTCGCATGAAGCCCTCCAGGCGCTGCTCCTCATTGAAAGCGACGGCGGAATAAGCGTTCAGTTCCATCGCTGCTCGTGCCGTACTATGTCCATACCTAATCTTGATCAATTTGACACGTTCCATCAAGTTGTCAACCATTTTTAAGGCGTGTATATAACGGATGAACTCATTGCCAGTGTCCTCATCGGACAGTGGCTGAAAATTGTTAAACTTTCGAATGCGCCGGTAGTAGTCACACACGACATTATTCAACTGGGTGTTCAGACATTTTTCGTAGGTGTAATCGTCTAGCAAACGCGCCAGTTCCAAAATCATCTTTTCCTTGTCCAAAAGGTTTTCCTTGTTTTTGTCGGCGTTTTCCGAATAAGCCACAACGGTGTTAATTAGATGGTTCAGGAAATCGACAGTGAGACGATACCAGAAGGGTTCTTCTACTGTTTCTTTCATTTCTGGCTGGAGCTCGACATCCGCATCTACGGCCACAGCGAACATGGCCATAGTGTCGACCTCCTCAGCAATGATTACTTGCTTTCCCAACGCCTGTTCGTCGGGCAAGTCGTCCATTTCTATGGACTCATCATCTTCCTCGGCCTCAGTCGTCGTATTTATGTCAACATCCCGAGCGGACGATCCACCAGACTCACCCTCCCCCGCTTCTTCAGCATTTTCCGCAAGTGAGGTGTCCGCAGTGATTGAGGACTTTTTTCTGGATCACGCTCCGGTTCGGTCTCATGTTCTGGTTCCGAATCGAGGGAAATGTCGGAAATGCTGGGCAGGCTGTCGAACTCGTGAATGAACTCACTCTTCAAGGAGTTTCCCAATCTGGGCAATGGTGTATCCTCGCTGGAAACTGACTCTACGTCCTCATCGATAACAGCGCCTTCTTCTGGAGATGGGACTTTTTGGTTGATAATGGCATTTATATCATCGAGGTCATCACCGGACTCTTCACCAATAGAATGCAAAGAGTGATAGCTCTGCACGGATTCTCTCGGGTGCGTCTCCTTGGGCTGCTCCTCCCTCGACCTCATCCTGAATATTATCATCAGGTTCTTGGGGCTTATCTTTGACCTCAGGAACTGGCAGTAATGCCATTTCCTCAACCTTCTTTTTCTGGAGCAGCTTCTTCACCTTGAACAGCTTTTCAGCCTTTCGTTGTTCGGCGCTTATTAAACCTTTTGGTTTTCCGTGAGCTTCCTGGCCTTCTTTTGACATCTGATCTTCCTCGGTTGGCAACACTGAACCTTCTTCACCATCGGGTATTTCTTTAGTGGCAAGATCTGCTGCTGTATCTTGAATATCTGTTCCCTCCTCTTCAGGAACAGTGCCCACTGCAAGAACTTCCTCTGCAACTGGAACCTCTTCAGTGGGAGCTACTAGAGGTGACCCCTCGGGAGCATTCTCAGCCATCTCCAGATCGTTGGAATTGATTCAGAAATATATATATTTATTCGGTTGATGATAACAAACTTCGTTCTTATGTTTTGCTATGTCTGACTATTGGTACTGGTTATTGCCTGGTATTAAGATCAAGGGTTGCTGGAATCGTCTTATATAGTAAATTTTATTGCTATCACAAGTTAATCATACACATATACCATCAAAGAAAACAAAACGAAAATTGCAGTTGTCTGTATTGGAGTTCAATGCAAGCTCTATCTTTGGCCAAATTAGAAGGACATGCCGCTAGTTGAAGGCGTAGAGCAGCAGCAAAATCACGCAGAAGCCAATAACTGCTCCTAGGATCAGGGAATCGCGTCGTTTTTTGATATTGATGCGCTGAATGAGACTGAAAGTGAAAGTAAAATAATTGTTTACTATGGTATCAGATGATCTCTTAAAGACAATTTAATGCTCACCTGGAAATCAGTGGGAATCGATTAGAGATATCGTTAAAGCGCGTCTGCAGCCGCTTAAAGGCCTGTCGCTGAGCATGTAGATGGTCTCGTGTCTCAATGGCTATGTTTATCTGATCGTTGACCAGGTGACTGGCGCTGCTGAGGTGTCCGCTCTCTTTGAGGTACATCTCACGGCGGCTCAGGCCGGAAATGGAAGGACTACCAGAACTCGTAGCCAAGCCAGAGCCTCGGAGGAGTTCTTCTCGCTCAATTCGCATCGTGTGGTTGGCGCAAATCTTGTTGAACTCTTGCCGATAACCCTGCAGGATTTCTCTATGCCTCTGCAGTGTGTGCATTGCGGCAGCTCCCGAAGCGGGCAAGTCTGACATGGACTCATTTAGGGAAGATAACTGGAAAGAATAAAAATATACAAATAAGGAATCCTAGGGGTTTTAAATATTTTATGAATTACTTAAAATTCCTTAAATATCAAAGAGATTTAGTGCTTATAATGACTAATTAATCACTTAATTGCAAAAGATTTTTGAAAAAATCATTTACATATATACACAATTCATTATAACTTTTTAAATCTCAAATTAGGTTCTTAAAATAGTGTAAATCAAATGACCAAATTTCTCGTGGCGTTTCCATAGGGAAATTTTCCGAGAACGTAAACTATAAAGACTATATTATACTTCACTAGAAGGAATTTCTTTTCCGAAATAATAGGAATATTGAATGTTAAAATAACTAAAATTGGAAACAGAACACAAAAGTGTGTGTTTAATCCCAGCTTTGAGGCTAATCCCCGTACCATCCCATGGCTTGAGACCTATATCCCACCTTCTCCAGCATCTGCTCGATCTCCTCCGACAGTGAATCGAAGACGTGTTCGCCCAGGAGCGGCGATGTGTCAACGCCTCCTATTCCGCCACTTCCTCCTCCTCCTCCGCTGCCTGCTCCGATTTTACTGAATGCCACCAGCTTTAGGTCGATCTCGTTCTCCAGACTCCTCGCCTGCTTCCGGAGCACTGCGTGGGGGATAATATGGGGTTATAAGTTAAGGTTAAGATTGCCAAGCAATCCCAAAGCTCACCATCGTAGCTAGATCCTCCCATTTGTCCAAAATAGTTTTCTTTTAGTTGTTCGACTTTCGTGTGGCAATCAGTGTGGCCAAATCGAGAATGAGGGATCTGGGCATTTATGGTGGTATCCCAAGGAAACCGTCAGATTAAGCTATATTAAAAAATATTTTACACAATGTATAATTTATTACATTAAACAAAACTTTAGAAATTATGTTAAAAAAAAGATGGTTAGGAACATTTTGGATTATACGAATTCGATTATTCGCTCCCGGAGTTAACTAAAAATTATAGCTATTGATATTTCGTCCTCAGGGAAAAAAATTTTAACCGGTTGAAAACATTATCTGGTCACACTGGCGAGCACAGCGTTTTGTTGCCGGCGATTTGTAAAGTTTGTTTAGTTATTTATTAAGTTTTTCTTACCATTATGACGCAGGCAACAGGTGATGCACGTGTGCCGGATGAGGAGAGTGATCTTTTGCAGATTAAGCCACTGTAAGAAAATTTGGATTTCAATTAGATAAATCAAGCTAAACTGTCGAATCATTACTCCATTTCAGAGGTGCTGGCCAAGAAGTGGGACGCTCCTGCATCATGTTAGAGTTCAAGGGCAAGAAGATCATGCTAGACTGTGGAATCCATCCAGGATTGACCGGCATGGATGCACTGCCCTATGTGGACCTGATAGAAGCGGATGAGATTGATCTGCTGTTTATTTCACAGTGGGTAGCTCAATAACTAAACGAATACCCAAGTTATAATGGGAAATTACTCTATTTTCTAGTTTCCATCTGGATCACTGCGGCGCCTTGCCCTGGTTTCTCATGAAGACCAGCTTTAAGGGTCGCTGCTTCATGACCCACGCCACCAAAGCCATATACCGATGGATGTTATCAGATTACATCAAAATCAGCAATATCTCCACCGAACAGATGCTTTACACGGAAGCCGATTTAGAGGCCTCTATGGAGAAGATAGAGACGATCAATTTTCACGAAGAGCGCGATGTAATGGGCGTTCGCTTTTGTGCTTATATTGCTGGTCATGTTTTGGGTGCTGCCATGTTTATGATAGAAATTGCTGGCATCAAAATCCTATACACTGGCGATTTCTCTCGTCAGGAAGATCGTCATTTAATGGCCGCCGAAGTGCCACCCATGAAGCCTGATGTTTTGATCACAGAGTCTACCTATGGCACTCACATACATGAGAAACGAGAGGATCGTGAGAATCGTTTTACCTCGCTCGTGCAGAAAATTGTTCAACAAGGTGGCAGATGTTTGATTCCAGTGTTTGCCTTGGGTCGTGCACAGGAATTGTTACTTATTCTGGATGAATACTGGTCACAAAACCCTGATCTTCACGAGATTCCCATCTACTATGCGTCTTCGCTGGCCAAAAAGTGTATGGCCGTCTACCAGACGTACATCAATGCCATGAACGATCGCATTCGTCGGCAGATAGCCGTTAACAATCCCTTTGTTTTTCGACACATTTCCAATCTAAAGGGAATTGATCACTTTGAGGACATCGGACCCTGTGTAATCATGGCCTCTCCCGGTATGATGCAGTCGGGACTATCGCGAGAGCTCTTCGAGAGCTGGTGCACGGATCCCAAAAATGGAGTGATCATAGCCGGTTATTGCGTAGAAGGAACTCTGGCCAAATCTGTACTCTCAGAGCCAGAAGAGATCACTACGCTATCAGGGCAAAAGCTTCCACTCAACATGTCCGTGGACTACATATCTTTTTCGGCTCATACTGACTATCAGCAGACCAGCGAGTTCATTCGCTTGCTGAAGCCCACACACGTGGTGCTCGTCCATGGCGAGCAGAATGAGATGTCGCGTCTAAAGTTGGCTCTGCAGCGAGAATACGAAGCGGATGCTAGTACAGACATAAAGTTTTATAACCCGCGTAACACACACGCCGTGGATCTGTATTTCCGCGGAGAGAAAACCGCCAAGGTGATGGGAAGCCTGGCTGCCAAGAATTCTCGGAAGTGGGAAGCAAACTCTCAGGTGTTCTGGTTAAACGGGATTTTAAGTACCACTTGCTGGCTCCTTCTGATCTAGGCAGTAAGTAATGTATAATAAATATCGTTATAATAAGTTTTTCGGTTATTATTTTTAAATCTGTTTCACAGAATACACCGATATGAGCATGTCAGTAGTGACCCAACGTCAGTCGATTCCTTGGGGCAGCTCACTAACCACACTTGAGCTTCTGCTCGATCGCATTGGAGCAGGATGTGTGGAGGTAATAGAGCCGGATCGAAAACTGCGGGTCTTTAGCTGCATTGAACTAACTGTGGAGCAGAAGATAATCGTAATGGAGTGGCAAGCAACGCATGTTAACGATGTTTATGCGGATGCCGTCCTCGCCTGCATAATGCAATCAGAGCTGGGTGGAACCAATCTGAAGGGCGCCACGAAGCAGACCAAGTCGGATGAATCACGTTTTCGGGAGTGCCTCATTGAAACGCTGCAGGACACCTTCGGCGACAATTGTGTGCCCAAAATGTTCAAGGGTGATCTGCTACCAGTAGTAGTCAGTGGCAAACGGGCGGAAATCAACCTGGAAACATTGGTTAGTTTTTAAATCGATCTTTATTATTCATTTTTAAAGATTAATAATTTATTTCAGGTTGTCAGCTGCGCCGAGGATGACGTCCTACGCCAGATGATCAATACGACGGTGCAAAAGCTGCACCAGACCCTAGTATCTGCCCACTGAAAGCCAGAGCCATTCCGCAAAATAAATCTCCGTTTGTGTGAGAAATATTCTTTTTATTGTTTGATACAAATTGAAAATAGTTTTGCATGTATAAACCAAAATGTGGATTTGATAATAGTGTATATCGGATCGACACTAACGCTGTGTGCTCTTGGCGATTTGCTCCTTGAGCATAAGGATGCTGGCCCGTTGCTCGGAGGGCAATTGGGCGATCTGCTCGTCGGACAGTTGCAGCACCTGCATGATAAGAGCGGCCTTCTCTTGGTCTGAGGCATCGGAGGGCAGAACTCCATGGGCCCCCAATCTGCTCTGCAGCTGCTGAGCGGCCGCTTGTTGTTGTTGTGTCGGCGGAGGCGCCTGGGGAATGCCCTGCGGCGGTGCCTGCTGAGGGCCAGGTCCGGCTCTTAGCCTGGGATCCATGGGACGTTGGCGTGGATCGCTTGGGTAGGGAGCCGGTGGTGGCTGCGAAACACCTTGCTGTTGAGAAGGCATTTGGGCACGTGTCCGAGGATCCATTAGTGGCGGTGGGACTGGATTGGGAAGGGATCCCCGGAGATCCTGATCCATGCCACGGCCCAACATCCTGGGATCCATCGGCATGGGTCCACCGGGCACCATACGCAAATCGATATCGTTTGGATGGACATTGGTTGGAAAACCAGGTCCGGGAACAGGCATTGGGGGCGGTGGAACTTGCTGCTGCGGAATTTGTGGTTGCTGTTGCTGCGGAACTTGCTGTTGCTGCTGGCCCATCATGTTTCCCGGTCCCTGGTGCGAATTGCCACCCAAAACTGGAGGCATTTGGTTGGCCTTAAAGAGCATGCCGAGTGCCTGCTGCGGATCCACAATTCGCATGACCACCATGGCCTGGAGCAAAGCGTAGGCCAGCTGAGGATTGAGCATGAGCATCTGTCGTGCCTCCGAAGGATTGCTCACGATGCAGAGTTTCATCTGCTTCATCAGCTCGTACATCTGCTCTGGTGGCAAGGAAGCCACAGTTTTGGTGATTAGTTCGGGTGCATCCTCCGGTTCGCATGGTTCTCCATAGGGATTCTCCACCTGGGGCCCCTGGAGCAGCTGCTGCATCTCCATCCGCGACTTTTCCGTACATGCATTATCCACGCGAAGTGTCCTGCCACCAATTTCGTATCCATTCAGATTTCGCATGGCACTCAATGCCGTCTCCTGGTCTTTGTACTCACAGAAACCGAAACCTTTCGGTTTGCCACTTTCCCGATCGAATACCAACCTACAGAGATTCGAAATAGGGGGTATAGATCATAGTTTTATATGGTTTTAACGTAAAAACTCACTTGAGCGATAAAACCGGCCCGACTTCGCTGAAAATCTCCTTTAGCTTCTCCTCGGTAGCTTCGTAAGGTATATTCCCCACGAAAACCGACCTCATGGACTTGTCCATGATGCTCTGTTCCTGAGCCTTATCTGTCATGTTTGCTATTGTTTTTTTTTAATGCACAAATTCTTGTAAATCGTAGTAAGCGTTGACAAATTTGTCAAAAACACGAATTTCCCTACGAAGCGGCTTTCTTCTTCTTTTTCATAAAAATTTCCCTTTCCAGGGTTGGCTAAAAAAAACGGTGCTTCATATCTTGAGAACAACACCTAAAAAAGCCATTACTTCTGAGATGAAATATTAGAAAAAGGCATTAATTTTTTATCATGTAAAAGATATTACCCGTTACTCGTAAATTAAAAGGGTATACGTGTTTTTAAGATTCCGCTCAACAGTTAAAATAAAAGTCCTGCAGAAAAATTTTATTGATTCGCTGATGTTAATAATAAAAGGTATTCATAAAATGCTGTTGCGTCTTTTAAGTTTTAAGCTTTGGTTCTACTTGTCAGTAACTTAACATAAATTTTTTGGTTCTGGGAATAATTTGCGATATAGAATATAGCTGATTATCAAAACTAAAAAATTTTCCCAAAGTCGATCGTGAAAGAGGCTAGATTTGACGGGAAAAAAGAGGAATTGACATAACTGTTCAAAATACGGTAGTGTTGGCAAATTCCGATATGCCCGCATACGTTTTGCAGCACTCCAACGCCTGGTGTTGTAATTTTTCTTGTCGCAAGGTGAAAACGATTTAAACGGTTTTTGATAGTGAAAAGTGCATAAAATTTGAAAAATTGCACATCAAAGTGCAGATGAAAGTGGCGTTAATACAATTTCTATGCGGTAGCAGTGAATAAACGGCCCAAAGTGCATGAAAAACGTGCTTGAAAATTTTACTTTGTGTGTAGCCACACGCACTCCAACACACACAACCGCACTCACACACATACACGGGCAGAGGGAGATAAACGCAGCGATGGCCTCGCAGTCGCACTCGCACATATAAAAAAGCTCGCTTGTATATTGGAAGAAGGAGCGCACAAAGCAGAAGACGAGAGGAAAGATTTCTGTGTCATTGAACGAGTGAAAAGAAGAAGAAAAAGAGAGCCAGGAGCTCCTGTTCGTCCTCCTCCTTCTCGTCCTCAGCCATCTTCTAGCGGCCGCAGGTGCACCACACTTCGATTCCAATTTCAAGGATACTCTCCCAGCCGCTCTCACTCTCTCTCTCTTCCTCGATCGATACTGGTAATTAGCTGGCGTCCGCTCATGGACGAAACGAAAAATGAAATCGATGGCAATGGCTGGCGAACAAAAGCGGAAATATGTGCATTTTAAAATTGTGTCTGCCTGTAATTATGTGAATAATAAGCAGTAAAAAAATCGTACAATAAGTGGCAAGATCAGCGACATTAAAGCACACTCGCATACACAAAGCGAAGGCACACTGGAAAAAAGGTTTGCTGGGATTGTAGTTTGTGCAAACTGGAATATTTTATAATGCATCTACGCACTTTGCGTGCTCCTCTTTTTAATTCGGCTGCCTCTCTTTGTGTGTGCGTGTGTTCATGTGGGTGTTGTGTGTGCGTGGTGTGTGTAACCTTTGCAAAGGAAAAATCAATAGCAACAGACGTAGACATTTGTTTGCCGCTGTTTATGTGCAGCCCTCGCATTGTCCTTCGCTCCCAAAACAAAGAGCAACCCTTGCAGAGATGGCTAAATCCCAAAAAGCAAAAAAATAACAGCAAATATTGGTCTATACACAGACTATAAATAAAAGCAAAAGTTATCGCAAAAGGCAGGCAAAAAGAAGAAGAAAAAGCTGTGGAACGGCCAATAACTCGTCAGTGGCTGGGTCGTTGCCTCTTTTTCCGATTCTGATTCCGTTTCTTCCTGCGACTCTGGCTCCCCGAGCGAAAAAAGCTGCTCCAGAAGTTGTCTGACACATCTGCGACCGGCATTCCAAGTCCCCTGCTCCCACTGCTCATTGCTCACACCTCTTCTTTTCCAATCAAGTCCTTTTGATCTCTCGTTGATACCAAAATTCTTGTGTGGTTCCTTTAAGATTAAAAACTCAAAAAACAACAAATTAAGATTGTTCTAAGGAATTAAGAGAATCGTTTTTAGTCTGCCTTCTTATTTGTTAATATATATTTTATCTATAAAATCCTAAGGTTTAAATTCGTAAATATTTTAAATAATACAATAAACTAGTTCCCTTACAAATTGTTTGGCGATAAACTAGAAATTCTTAATATAATAGGTTTTAAGGATACATTTGAAAGTGAAACACTACTTCTTGATTTTTTCTTAGCGTTTATACTGAGTAGTAAACAATCTTTGTTTATGAAACTATTACAAACGCATAACTCAACTGTTGATCGTGGTTCAAAAGTGTTCACTTAGACCCTGTATTCAAACTCTTTCTGTTTCCTTGCTTGCCGTAATCGACTTTTTTGGTGATTTCAAAAGAGGCACTCAGCCACTACAAAGTAATTTTAATACCTTTTTTGTGTTTATTTTTCAAGTGTTGTTTTTAAGCAGAAAGAAGCTGTATTAACTTTGAAGAGGTTTCTAATATTGCGATTAGCTATTAAGTATTTTTAAACCCTTTTCTAATTATAATGCCAAGAACTCTCCTTTCTCGTCATAAAGTTCAGTTATTCCGGGTAACCCACGTTTGTTAAGATTACGCTGCACGCATTCCTCGGATAACCGATCCGTTGGATCGCCGGACGGCACATTCTTCGCATATCGAGTATCGTCTTACCAAAGGCGCTGATATCGGAGCGCAGATTAAGCGCAAGGGCCTGGTACCGATACTTGTGGCATGAATATTCTGACATTCTTTCTTTCTTTATTGCAGCTCACCCGTGTCGAATCAGAGGATTGAGCAAGATGGACGCCAAACCAAGAGGACACGTAGTTTTATGACTCTAAGGGGCAACCAAGCCAGCAATCCGTCGCACTAGAAAGCTAGAAACCAGGCTCCCAGAGAGCAGGAGAAGCCAGTGGGCAGTAGCAGGAACAGAATAGCCACAGATAAAACAATCTAAAGCCGTCATCATGGTTGACAATAGTGTCCAATGCCCCGTGTGCACTTTGTACCTGCATGCGGGAATGAATCTCTCCGATCACTTGGAGACCCATCCCAAGGAACAGGTGATCAAGGCGCTGGTGCAGATGACGATAGTCGGTAGCGGCGGCAATAGCATGGGCAGTGCGCTTGCTGCTGCCATGCTATCAGGAGGAACTGGAGGAGGATCTAGTAGTGGCGAAGCAAGTGTGGTCGATGAGAAACCAGCCGTGTTATCACCGCCTTCTGGTGGAGATGTTAAACCAGTTGTGGCCAATACCATATCAGCAGCAACAGCAGCCCCACCGCCAGCAGCGGCGCCTGTGGTGCCATCAGTACCGCCACCGCTCTCCTCCTCTCTCGTGGCAGCCTGCTCCAATGGAGCCGCCTCTTCCACAACAAGCTCTACACCCACCTCCCCCTCCACAAGCAGCAGCAGCAACAACAGCAAACCGAGCAATCCACCGATGAAAACACTGAAATGCTCACCGCCCACGACTGAGGCGCGAGCCAACACATCCGCACATCCCACCACAAGCAGCGTGTCCACTTTGTACCAGCCATCGCAGGTCACCCCGGATTATCGCTTCAACCAGCAGCAGCAGCCACAGACAGCGGGCTTTGGTCGTGGTGTCACCGCCTCGGCAGCAACGCTGGTGATACCACAGGTGCCTCAGCAGCACTTCCTCGCTAGCCATCAGCAGCAGGCTCACTTTACACATCAACAGCAACCCCCGCAGCAGCAACAACAACAGCAGCAACAACAGCAGCAGCAGCCTGCTATGAAGTTTAACTACGCCACAGCTTTGCCCCCACCTCCGCCGTTGCAGGTTAGTTGCAGATGCTTATTCACTCTCCCTAATGAATGCAAACCATTTTTTAAAACCCACATCGAAATTATTCGCATTCCAGTTCTGTTTGGTTAGATATATTAATTTTTTTCCGGAACACATTTTTCAGTGAATTAAAGCTAGTAGTAGTAGTTAGAGTTTAAATAGTATCAGTTCCAATTTCATGATATCCATACCAAGATTTTTAAGACTTAACACTTTACTAAACCCAAACTTGTCTATCCAAGAACGGATTCTTTTAAATTGTTATTTTTTAATCTACAATTGATATTTCCTTTCAGCTTTTTACGCAGCAACAGCAGCAGCAACAACCGACGGTTGCTCCACCGCAACAATCGCAGCAGCAATCGCATCAGAAACCACCTCCCGCCTATGGAGCCGCCATCAGTCAAATACGATCTCAGCACAACCAAAACAAGCAGCCGCCACAGCCTCAAAACGTGGCCATGCAACATAACCTAGCCCTGGCACCACCTACGACGTCAACAGCGGCTTCCAATTCACTTGCGTCTGCAGCTAGCAAGCAGCCCAATAAGACGCATTCGGAAGTATTCTTGAATCCCCCACCACCGCCACCAGCACAGCATCAGGCGCAGATTCACAATTTAGTGCAGCATCAGCAGAATCAGAGTCAGCATCATCAACATCCTCACCAGCAGCAGCAACACCAGAATCTGCATCTGGCCTCATCATCCTCCGCTAGATTACAGCATCAACAACAGCCACCGAGTTTGCAGGCCTATGGATCAGGTGTCAGCAGTAGCTGCAGTTCCTCCAACAACCCCTCCACATCGGCACCTGCTCTTCGTGCGAATCGTCAGACAAACTCTCCTTTTGGAGCGCTGCTTAATGCTGCGGCTGCTGCGGCCTGCGCATCACCGGCATCTTCCACCGCGTCGTCATCGGTCCTGCGGTTTGCGGAATCCCCTGTGGCACACTATCTGGAGCGTGAAAATGGTGACTTCATTGTCCAGGAGACGCCAAAGCATATAGTGGAGTGTGTGGAAAAGGAAGACGGTGAGTTCTCTGTTATCGAGCGCATTTATCAATCCCCGCCGAGTGTCCTGCATATACACGATGACGATGAGGACGATGAAGAAGATGAAGAGGAAGAGGATGACCATGAAGCACCGCCGGAGGAGGAAGACGGGGATGATGAGCGGGAGGAAAATAGCCGCAGTCGTAATATGAGCAAGACAACGAAAAAGGCACGAAAGACCAAGCCAAAGCGAAGTTCCAAGCGCGTCTCGGATGAGGAGGAGTTCATGAGCCTCAGCAGCGGGTGTGAGAGTGAGCTAGAAAGAGAGCGTAAGCAGGAGCAGCCAAATACGGCGGCATCTTTACCGCCTCCACTAAGCACAGGTCCTTCTACTAGCACTGGTGGTGCTTTCGCTTCCTCCTCCACTAATCTGGCCGATAATCATTCCAATTCCGCTTCCAACTCCGCCTCCAATTCAAACTCCACCGCCACTACAAAGTCCAAGAAGAATCGAATTACAGTGCTCAGCGATGTACCCCTCAATATGAATGAGTATCTCGATTTGATGGGTAACATCGTGGCCTCCAGTCGTATTGGAGCAGGTCGACCGTTTGCAGCTGTGGCTCCCATACCACTCGTCAAGGTGGAGAAGGAGGAGCCTTTGGACGACTACGACAATGTGGCAGTTACAGTTCCTGCCGAACTGGAGCAGAAGCCCAGCTTGGAGCACGGTACCACCAGCGTAATTCGCATGGCAAGCACGGCTACTGCGACGACTTCGGCAACGGCGACTGGAGTTGCTACGGAGGATCTCAATCAGCCGCCGACCATGAAAGTCGAGGTGGAGCCCAACACCACATTGCTACCGCAACGCTTCTCCATCCCCGCCCAACAACGCGGCCCCAAGAAATTAGTCATCAAACCAAAAGCAACAGCACCAGCGACAGCAACGACAACGAAAAAGACTGACACCCCATCTTCCTCCAGCAGCAACCCATCCATATCAAGAGATCTGGTTCAGGTGAAGAGTGAGACCGTGGAGGCCCCAGGGCCGAGCAGTAGTAGTAGCATTCTCGAGAAACACCTTACCACCAGTCGTAAACAGCTAAATCACCACTCGGCGGTGAACGATGACGATGCCCGTGTACTGTTGGAGTTTGCAAACTCAAAGCAGCCGCCACCACTTGCTGCTTCCAGCACCACGTTCGTAGTAAATGCCAGTGCGGGATTTCCCTCGGCGGGATCAGTTTTCGCTAGTAGCAGTAACAGCTGTCCTAAAGGACCGGCCAAGCCGGGAGAGGAGTACATCCTGCCGGACAACAATATGGATGTGGATGAGATTGTGATATCCTCGTCGTCTTCCTACACCTCCTCAGCGGCCCAGGTGCAGGCCACGCTGCAGCCGCCGGATTTTAACTTTCTGTACCATCAGACCACAACAACGGCCACGACAGCCACCTACTTTAATTCCTTCTCCAGGCAGCAGCATCATCATCAGCAGCAGCAACAGCACGGTGTTAGCGATGCCACCAATGCGGCCACGTTGGCTTCGTCGTCCAGCAATTCAATGGACCACGACTCGATGAATGCAACATTCCGCGTTGCCAAGACCCAGTCGCTGCAATCATGGTATCAGCAGGAGCAGGAGCACGATCCCCAGAACCAGGGTGGTGCGGAATCAGGAACAGCCACACCTTCTAATCAGAGCCAGGATGTGGTTAGCCATCAGCCCACCAATTTTAACGCCGCTCTAGCGGCCGTTGATTGCTGTAGCGTAGCCCTGGATGAGGATGCAAAATATCTGGACCTGGACACTTGCAAGCGGGAACAATTGAGCAGTAGTAGCAACCTGCCCTCGGCCTCTGCATCCACCACGTCGTCTTCATTTGCTGGCGCCGGCACAGAAAGCAGTTTAGTTGGTGGCCTGAATATCCGCACAGATGAGAAGATGCCGGCCAAGGGTGAAATTTCCGAACAGGAAAGCAACTGCGACATCGAAAACTCGTGGAGCGATTCCGTAAGATATATTTAATATTCTGTTTTTGTCTTCAACCAATAATAATATTTATTTTGTTTGCAGGTTTATGGGGATATTTCGCAGCGGTATTTCAGGAACCAGTTTTCTGGCGGCTATAACCCAGACTGGCGGCAGGATTACTACCAGATTCAGGACTTAAGCGGCCAACAGAGGGAACAAAAACGGTAAGACAAGTGGTTTTAGGTACCACATTATTTAATTATCATTGACGTGGTTATTAAAAGTAAAATACCTAAAAAATAAAGGCTATTAATTCTAACTTCTGTTAATTTCTTTAATTCTTACAGTTTCGACTTTAATGCTGTTGATGATGAGGCATCATCGAGCTCGAGAAAGAGTCAACTGACTGATGTCATCCCAACCGCGGCCACCTCCTCCGCTTCAACGTCGTCGGCTTTGCTGGCGGGTCCACCAATAGCTTCGACATCGCGGGCTGCCGCAGAAGCGGCAGCGGAGGCGGCTGTTCTCGCCCAGCGGAAACCGCAGCGCCGCAAGCTCTACAAGTGTCCACACTGCGAAGCGATCTTTGAAAAGCTTAAAGAGCGTAATGCGCACATGATTGGCGAGCACAACTACGTGCGACAAAACCGCCGACTCATCTGCACTCAGCCACAAGTAAACGCCTCCATGTTGCCACCACAGCAGCAACAGATGATTTTACAGGGAGGCGACGCTATGCATGAAGATTCTAAGGATGGCATTGTCAAGATAAAGCAAGAACAGTGCCAGGAAAAACACGATGTTGAGCATATGCACGCTCATTCTGAATTACTGGCGGATGTCAAGGACTCTGAGCTGCTGGGCATCGGTGGTGACGGCGATGGAGATGTAGATGGTGACATTAAGCCACCCAGCCAGCTGGATGAGAAGCCTACGCTACCACCACTGGCTATGACAACTCCGGCTGCTAAGCTAGCAGCTTTGTATCGTATGCTAATCGCCTACAACGAATCTAAACTCGGACAGGAGCGCAACAATCTCAGCGAACTGGAGCAGAAAGCTATGGAAAAGTCCATCTTTCTGTGCTACGTCTGCCGCACCGACTTCCCGTCCGTAAAGCTTTACGATGCCCATCTTACCGAACATCCGGCTGAGTGTTTTACATGCGGAAAGAAGTTCTATCGCTGGAAAAACTTTTCATTGCATCTAAAGCGGCATTTGGGCTGGAAGGAGTTCGGTTGCTATGTCTGCGACAAGAAATTTGTAGTGCGCAGCGCACTCGTCGAGCACATGCGAATGCACACGGGACAAACGCCTCTCAAGTGCAAGATATGCGGTAAGTTCAGTGCATTACTTATATAATTTTAAGATGGGTCAAGAAACACTTTCTAATTGATCCTTCATATTAATTACAGGAAAAAAATTCAAACGCTATTCCAATCTGACGCAACACCGCAAGCGGCACACAAAGATGATGGTGCGCAAAAAGGAGTATGTGTGTCATTGCGGCGAGGTTTTGCCGTCGAAGGCACGCTTCCTGTGGCACAAGGAGACGCATGACCTGAAGCCCAAGTGCTGTCCCTACTGCTGCGATCGGTTTGTACACGCCAACTCACTACGCCGCCACATAAGGTTGGCACACTCTGATAAGTTCGACTATGCTGAACCGATGGAGTGTCCTATGTGCAAGCAGATCTTCGCTAAGACGTCCATCAAGGCGCATATGGCGACGCATTCGACGGAGCCTCAATACGACTGCGCCATTTGTAGCAAGAGCTTTTCTACCAAATGGAATCTCAAGATCCACTCTTGGGTGCATGCTAACCGGACGGCCAAACCCTTTAAGTGCGAATACTGCCCAAAGGCGTTCGTGAGAGAGCTGGACTTCAAAAACCACATCAATGCGCACAAGCAGATCAAGCCGTATACATGTGAGTATTGCGGCTGCAAGTTCATACGCAAGTACAACTATATGAGGCACCGTCGCGAGCATCACGGTACCAAGAAATTCACCTGCGACCAGTGCGACAAGTCCTTCCATCGGCACTACTATCTGATCGAGCACAGGCGGATGCATACCGGGGAGCGGCCATTCACCTGCAGTATCTGTGGCAAAAGCTCCACTACGAAGACCAACCATAACAAGCATCTGAAGATTCACCATTCGCGCGATCCCTTCACCGTGGAGGCCTAAGGGTGCTCGGTAACAAAGGGCTTCGCATTCGAACTAAAGTTTAATATAATCATTACCTAGGTAGTTGTTCATGACTCTTCTCTGTGTGTACTGTGTGTGTCTGTGGTTAAAACAACAAAAAACAAAACAAAACAACAAATTAGTATTACATAATAAACTATATATTTAGTTTACATATGCGATTGCCAACTCTTGTTGAATAAGCAAACAAGAAACAATTATCACAATAATTACATTTTACTAATCTTACATTTTGGATGTGGTTTAAGAACGTAGCTAAATGTGAAAGTGTTTCCCCATTCTCTTCCTCCCGATTCGAATTGTAATTCGCGTCAACCGCTTTAATCCCGTTTAGGTTTTAGTTTTAAACTCACTTTAGTAAAATGGCATACCTAGTTCAGTGCAATATACATCGATTAATTACTATATGCCGCGATACTTTTCATTTCTGTAGTTTAGTTCGCATTAAGTTTTATTCATTTATATAAATTACGAGTATATGTGCATAGGAAAGCATGCTAGTTAATTTAAGTTAGCCGAAATTGGTTTTTAAACTTTCGAGTTTTTCCAAAACTTGAGAACATTCTAAGCGAAGGACACATACACAGAAAACGAACACCACCCATCTAACAACTTGTTATATAATTTGTATTTTTCTAATTAAAGAGATACATCTCTCTGCCAGCAATCGAACGTAAGCGAACACAACTGTCATATTGGATAAACAAACAATTTCGATGTATGTAGCATATTTTTGATTTATAGTAGTTGCAACTTCTCTAGGCTATTTTAAAGGATTGTTTCAATGGTTTAATGCAGCAATTAGTTAAAATTTCTAGCATTAAGTGAACACAACATTAAGTATAAATGAAATTTCACAATACATGCAATACATGCATCATAATAACGAAAACAAACAAATGGAAACAAAACAATTTTAAAATATTTACAACTTACAATACAAATTTCAATGAGAACTAATGGAAAGAATCCCATTCTATGGAGGAAATAAATTCAATTTATGGATAATTACAAAACATTTATTGCCTTTTTATGACTTTTCTAAGAGAGAGGGTAAGAAACCGAAGTTACTGGATGTTATAATTTGGGCTTATCGAAAAATAGAATTAAAGTTAAAATGTAAAATAACCCTGTGATACATGTTTATTTAGGGCTTGATAACAGGTCCGCATTTCCAGATCTCTTAACCACGTCACATTCTGGTTTTTTTCTGTAACATCAAATTTTCACAGAGAGATTGGTATACAAGCTTCTTCTTCTGCTTATTCTCAAAAAGCTCTACTTCGATTAGATCGAAATTGTCGGTGTGATAATTTGGGGAATAGTGAACCTGGGCAAAAACCAGTGGATATTTGCAGAGGCAAGCCTGCAATGTCTGGCGCACCGTTTTGTCTTCAAAATTATCGTTTTTCTTTAAGCCGTGTAATTTAACGCGAAAAGATCGCAGTGGGAACATAGACAACTGACTCGGCATCACTTTCAAATGATTGTACGGAAACTTTCTCGGTGTCATGGAAATCGATGTAGAACACGGTGGCTTCATGACTGGTTGGAGGAGACGCGATGTGTGAAACCTCTTTGATCAAAGCGCGGTACCACTGTTTGTCCTTCGAGTACTGGGCCAGGCACAAGTCACCCACTTTGGGTTGCTTTAACGGTTCCGCATCTTTGATCAAAGAACTCGTCTCTTGGATTAGACTTATGTCGTGCTTGGTAAACTCTGAGAGACATGGCGCGATCTGCAGTTCAGTCGAGGAAAGTACACTGTCTACGGTGCATTTGAATTGATTAACTCCATTGGGAAGGCGGAGTGTCTTGAAGCTGCTACTTCCATCGTAGTAAGACCTCTCCGTTGAGGTATCCAAAGGTGAAAAGTTGACCTTGTCTATTATTTCCTTTCAAAAAAAAAAAACAAAGTGTATTACAAAATTAACTGGCATAAAATCTACAATATTAATTTATATAGCCTTACCGTTTGACGGAGATCAATACGACGTTTCAACTGATCGACGGCAAAACAATTTGGGGGTTCCATCTGACTGTCATTCACATTGGCATCTATCTTGTTATTTTTCTTATCGGATAGATTTGAGGATAGTTCAACCTCAGAAGTATCAAATTCATCAAAAAAGTAACTATTGTTGAGATACTTCTTCTTGGTCGGCGGTGGCTGAGCCGATGAAATGGTTTCGTTTTTACGCTGAGTACAAGGTACTTCGTCGTCTGATGATTCTATTTGAGCAGAAGCTAGGTTATCCAGTTCGTTAAACACTTTAAACTCATTGAGATCATTTTGGGAAGGCATGTTTTTTTTGGACGACGGGTTTTCAATTGGTACTGATATTCCGCAATCTATCATCATGGTGGCTATGTCCATATTGCCGACTTTAATCTGACATGCGGGTAGCTTACCGCTACTCAAATCTTGGGAATCCACCACACGGACATTGCTTAGCTTCATGAACACATTCTCATGGACTGTTTTCCTATCCAGAATATTGTACATTCCCCATTTTGATCGAACACCGTGAATCGTTACCAGAAAACACATGGCGCTCAGTTCCGGGAACGGAGCATATGGCAGCATCTCATCTGCTTTTACCTGCTCCATGTTACCAGAATCCACATAGTACACTGTGTATTCGTCGTGATTGTTCTTTAAGCGCTGCACTATTCCTCGGTAAATTAGGTTGTCCATGTGATAGGTGGCCAGCACCGGTTGTCCCACCTCATATCTATAAGACGTGAAGCCCTTCTGTTGCTTTTCCATTAGTGGCTTGTATGTTTGCATTAGTAGATTGCGCATATGCTCCATGAAGGGCTTATCGTTGGCCAAAGTCAAGTAGATGGAGCACTCGTAGCTCACATTGGTGGCGAATGCAGTGAAGATGGTCTTCTCACACTTACGAGGAGTTGTCCAACCAGATGGTGGTAAGGTCTGTCCAGTCGTTAGCTTAAATAATCCTAAATCATAGAGCAGTTCCAACGGAGGCATATCTTCGTTGTGCTCGAAGACGGCTTTCATTCTACCCAACTCCACGGAATTAATGTTCTTTGTTGTATCAATCCATTCAATTTGATCCATATTGGTTTGCAAAGCTCTAGACTCATTTGATTTGGATCCTTGTAAGCGAACGCTGACATTTTCCGATCCCACCGTTGGTCTTCGTCGGCATCCAGATCTTTCTCCGCCATACCGGCTAACAAAAGGGTTTTGTTTATATTAACGTACTTTGTTTGAGATGGTGTAAAGGATTCACTGATTGTAGTGTGTGAGCCCCAAAGAACGACGTTTAAAGAGTTATTCGAACGACAGTGTTCTGTCATGTGGATATCATCGTAGACCTTCAATTGGTCCAAGAAGAATTTATTGGCGTCCTCAGACCATCCTTCACCGTTCGACCGGATCCCGTGTAAGCGACATCGTTTGACTCTGTTGGAGATGCGCATGTTGTCCTCGTCAATGTCGACCAGGCAAGTGCCGAGCATATCTTCAACCACCTCACCCAAATCCCGTAGTTGCACTTGGTAGCGAAACAATTGCCGATTAATGTTAGGTTTGACCTCTGTCACAATTCCACGATGCCATAATTTTTTAGAATCCATTTTGGCCTGCACATTTATGTAGCACATATCGCCTGCCTTCCACATAAATTTCGGCACCATATGCTCGTTCATTTCGGCAGCTGCTTTCTGCACAGCTTTTTGGAAGATCTCGATGGCTGGCTGCAAATTAGGCAGAGTCACATAGAACTCATCCGGCTGGCGGACGTAAAGAACCTGGACTTTAACTAGCTTATCTTGCTCGTTTTTATCGAACATTTGGTATCGAGAAAGTTTACCTAGCTTTCTCTTTTTCCGTTCTAAAAACTTGCACGTCTCCAGATCGAGACGTAAAGATCGATCTAGGGAACCTAACATCGTACTACTCTCCTCCGTGCTCGATATACAGCATCCCTGGGAAAAGAGTTGGACCCCAACGTTTGTTGTATCCGATTTGAAATGGGTTAAATTTAATGTCACATAGATCCCATCCTCGATGGGAAGGATTACCACTATGTGGAGATTGGGATTCGAGGTCAGTAGGTCTAAGGTATAAGACAGCTCCTCACGGGTTTGCACATTCGCCAGATAGCACTTGATAGCCATCTCCTTATGCCAGAAGTTCTGAGGCAGCACGAATAATTGGTCCCAGAAAACTTTTTGGCTAACACCATGGTCTACCAGACGCACAACTACATAACCTGAAATGAGAATGATATGTGATTGCTCATTTACTATTATATAAGGTAAAGTAAACTTAACTCACCATTCCCAAGAACGTCTTCGATGCTGGCGCGTTTCCACTGACCACCCGACTGCAGCACGCAACCAAGGTGAAGTTGCCCAAGAAATATGTTTTCCAAATGGCTACGGCTAATGCGATCCATGGTTTCCTGCAGATTATTTTGGAGACTTAAACGATTTGCCCTTAAGTCTTGACGGGTAACGTAGAACTCCTGCGAATGCCCAACGTTCAACATCTGGACCTTCAGCTCATCTCCACACTGAAACGTCATCTTGGGCAGGCGCAGCGTATTCGGAGCAAGCTGCAGCCATTGATGGCCCATGGCTGACGCTTGGACGCAGCGAGAGCGTGCCAGGCCAGAGTATAAAAAGCAATCGTGGATGGAGATATTAGTATTGTAATTGCTGGTAATAAGATCCACTTCATATGAATCGTAAAAAGCAGCTCTCTTCAATATCAAGTGCACGGGTTTGCTAGAAGTGGAGTATAGACATAATGTTATAATTGCTAAATTTTCAAGATGGTTAAATTTACTTTTGCACTATATGCTTAAGGAATGCGCTGGCTCTAGTACCCCACTCAGATTTATCATTGTTGGGCACCAGCTCACTTAGGGTGCAGTGTACGGCCGAGTACGGTAGCTTGGCTAAACGCTCAGGCAATTCATAAAAGCTAAAAGAAATTTGCAGTGAAGTAATAAATTTACTGATCTATTAAAGAAAACTCACTCCACGCTGCGAATGTCAAAGTAAAGACCAATATCCGGCAGAAAGACCTTGTAGATGTCGCAATTGGCAAGCTTTTGCTTTACTTTGGCACGGTAGAAGCACTTCTGATCCCTGTGGTAAATTATATAGTGCGTGCCCACCATGATCGCTAGTGGGATGGATCCCCTATCTTTATGTGTCCGTGCAAATTTTTCCATCTTCTTGCGCATTTGCTTTTCAGCATGGATGCCCTGGACATAGAAATCTTCGGGAGAGTTGATGCAGATCACCTTTACCTCAGCATAGGTTTTAAACCAAAAGCTGTTGTCTTCAACATCAGTAGATGATGTACTCTCAGGTTTGGTAATGTCCAATTCCGCGAAATTCTGAACAAAATTCAATTCCTGAATCGGAAGCTCATTGAGTAGACCAACTTAGATTGGAGTGGGATTTCCAAGAAATTTCGCTGCATCTCTCTTGGCTCTGTGCTATTGGTTTTTTCATTAAATTCGGGGTTAAAATTATGTTAGACTCGTGTTTATTCTCTTTGCCACCGCTGGAAGACTGGGAACTGCTACAATCGGACTCCTCAAAGTCTGTCTTGAAACGAACTTGAATATTGGGATCCACAAATTCGCAAGCTGGGATGTAGGTCATATCCATAAAACGACTAGTGCTCATGCTAATTGATCAAAATAATGATAGTTCTTGTTGAAAGAGAGTTTAAGGTTTACTTACCGATAAGGATTTTCCTCTATCTTGCTTACGTGCACAGTTGTGGGAATCTTTTCGATATGTTCGTGGATGAGTTTAACCAGCCATTTTAGAGGGATGTCGTCTGGCACACCCGTGATGTTCTGGGATCCACTTTCCAGGGCTTGCTTTAAGCGCTATTTTGAGAAGATAACTTGTATAATCAGCATAAGAGTTAATTTTATATGCACTCCCACCTTGATCACTGTTTCGTAGCCATTTAGAGTGCCAAGTGCTTTGTTGAGTGCCACTTGTGGTGGCAGACTGGACTCGCGCAGCTTCTCGATGACCTGCAGCTCGGCCACCTGGAGCAGGCCGTGCAGGTGGCAAAAACGCTTGGAAATATTGGCCAGCGTTTCGGAGGCATAGTTGTTAAACTTTTTCTTGGCCGCTTGTACCACCTGGGAACGAATGTAAGTTATAGAGGAGGTTGGTGGATGAAGATAGCCATGCAGATTAATACGTTGCACATTCTAATGACTCCTCGTTTGCCAGCGCAGTTGCCACCTAACCCGACCTCACCTATCCACCTCTCTCCAGGTGAATGGCGACCGTCTTGAGTTTTAATTGTACATTTCCCAATCCCAGGCAATCGGTGGCCACTACTTCACCGAGCAGCCAGTTCAGCTTGTTTTCTTAAAAAGATGTTTTTTTTTATATACTTTTAACCAGTTTACATAATGGGTAAGTATTTTTATAATCCCTAGTTTCTTTTTAATGTTATATTAAAGATTATTTACATAAAAAACTGAGCAATAATCTGTTTTTTCAAATTTTTGATTAGTTTCCCGGGAAGCCATTAGTTTTCTTTCTAGACAAAACAGGCAGCACTGCATCTTCTGTTGGTCTTAATCGCAATCATCTGCCTTGCCGCTCGCCGAGTGGCAATGATCATTATCAAAAGATTGTTTGGCTGTTAGGTAGGTTTTTGAAAGTGATTGTAAAAATCACCGAAATAATGCTGGCTCAACTAAGATCAGATCGGTATGGTTTGGATCGGATCGACTGAGGCTTATGACAGCTGATTTGTAGCAGATGACAGGCAAGTTCGCGCCAACGGGCCGTTCTGCCATAAAAGGGCATCCATCGAGCGATCCAATCTCAAGAGTTGTCGTGTAAATGAAACCATGTAGGAGCCCCGAATCTGGCACATCATTAAAACGAAACTTGGATCGTTTTCAACCGGCCATTCCCGTCGCTTTAGGCAATGTGAAATCAATTCAGATGACCTTGTCAAGGGTTTTGGTCTTGAGTTTGAGAGCCTAATAGACATTTCTATTGTTTACCTTGTCCATCAAAGCTATCCCCGCAGCTCGTTTCATATTCACAACATCCAGCAGTCCTCGCCAATTAGTTTTAATGGCCACAATAATATTATTTAGTGATCAGCAAGACTTGAAAGTAATACTTGATATTTGGGAAACAGAAAGAAAACTGAATGGATTTTATTATTCCATAAAAAAGAACTTTACGAGTGTCTAAATAATTGTAAATAATATAAAAAAAATATATTTGGTCCATATAATCACTTTGAATTGAAAGTAAAAAATATACAAATAATAATCACACTAATTAAAAATCCGAGAATGTAATTATTTTTAATAAATTTATCTTCGATCTCTTCAAACATAAAACGGCTGTCGTTACTGAAATGTAACAAATTAAATAAAGTTGTAACATAACTTAGGCATGCTTTTTATGGCAACGAATAAAAAAGAATATTGAGAAAACGTATATTAAAATATAATAACCCAAAAGTTATGGACGATATAAAAAGATGTTAGTTGAAAAGGAAAAATAACCTTCTTCTTCACCATCGTAAGAATAACAAATAACAAAATTTTATTATAATAAATATAATTAAGAAACATTAAAGTCGCCTCGGGCTGATGTGTGATTAGTAAGTGTCTGATCGTAAATCCACTGGCCAAATCAATCACTCCGAAATAGTTGGCATCGCTTTATGGACTCTGCGATGGATAAATGCTGTCATAACTTGATCAGCTCTGTTGTAGACATTGATTTAATATGCCTTTGGAGATTACATAACCTTCGTCGGCTTTGTTTGATGGATCTTTCGCTAGTTCTACATTCATTTCTTAATTCATATAACACTTTGGCAGAAACATTAAAACTATTAGTCTGTAATTAAAGTTACAAACATAAAAAAATGGCGATTATTAAACGCAATTTTCAATTGGAATGAACATAAATTTTTGTTTAATAAACTTTGTGGTAAAATAAGCCGACGTCAGTCGATCACAGACAGACAGACAGTCGGTCGAGTTCATTTTGGCCAGTTTATCAATTACAGACAATCGGACTCTCAGCCGGACACGCAATTTGGTAGCGTTTTGCGCCGCCTCGTTAGCCAGCTTTTTTCGTTTTCGTTTTTATTTTTATTTTTCTATTTATTTAGACTTGGCTCAGATCGGCTGCGTAATGCCCAGCAGTCGCGACTCTTTGGCTTTTGCCATTAATAATTGTTTTCTCGTTTTATATAATACATAATTTGTGTACGCTTTTCTTGTATTTATTTTTGCAATTAACCATTTTGGGGGAAGCGAACGAACAGTGATTTCTGCACGCCTCAATCTGGGCGTTCGGACGGCAGGCAGCTAATGTGGTTATGATTTATGTGGGAGGCCTTGAGGTGCTGCCTACAACTGCTTGCCCACCGACATCACCCCAGGTTTTTGGACCAAGCTGTCCGAACTGACTGACTGATGCCAAAACCATGCTAGCCCAGCCACATTAAGCGGCCAATTCGATCGGAACCATCTGGACAAGGCTAATTGCGAATGCTGGTCGGAGCATGGCACATGGCATCAGCAACGGAATAAATCATTTGCCCCTCCTAAAGTCCTCCTCCTCCTTCTTTGTGTGTCTTCATTAAATGCATTGAAATGCGGGTCCAGACCAAAAGAAGAAGAAGCCTCCAATGTCCAAGACACATTCTGTGGCAGCCAAAGACCTACAATGCAAGGTCAACTACAAAATGATTCGCAATCAAGATGCTCTTGGCCAGAACACTGACAGAAATGGGAGTTTGGAAAATTCTTTGGTTAAAAACTCAACAGATTATTGAACCATATAAGGATTAATGAATATAAAAAAATATAAATAAATAAATTTAGTATTTTAATCTATAAATCCTTTATATAATACAAAACTCTAAAATCCTTTCTAGACTCAAATTTGATTAATCCAAGTAGTTGAGTTTTGTTTCCACTGCAATTATAGCCAACATAAAAAAGCGACAGAAAACCTCCAAAAAAAAATGAAAGGCCCCCCAAAAAAAAATGGCAACAAAGTGTCATTCAGCAAAAGGTTTTTCCGCTCTAGCCAAAACCAAATACAAAATATGAAATGAAAAACATAATTACACTATTAATTAGAAGCTGTGGCCTAGGTGGCTAGGCTAGCTTTTTGTTCTTTTGTGTCTAGTTTTTCCAGCTCGAAGGTTGCCCAAAATAGGGTTCGGGGCTCTCTAGTAGACTGCGAACTTTTACGTGATTCATCGGCCAATTGGCAATTGCGTAAGATCAGAGCAGAGTAGATCGAGCTAGTTAGTACAATTAAAAGTAAGCTAGCCGAGTGCGCGCTCAAGTTGAACTTATATTTAGTTTGTTTTTTTTTTTTTTGGAGGCACGACAAACGAGTTCAGACCCAACTCAAAAAGCCCCACTCAAATCTGAGTCCGAGTGTGGAGTGAAGTGGATTGGAGTGAGTCTTGTGGTTTCTGGCTAGACTGCTGCCAAGTAATCGTATTCAACAACAATTGCAGTCAGTTGAGGTTGAAGCGTCTGGTTGAACGGTTGTAGTACTTGTCGATCAATAGACCCAAGAATCACAGGCCATAATAATAAAAAAGTGAAACACAAATACAACTTGTTGTATTATTATTGTCTCCGGCCACATTTGTTGTGTTGTGCCATATTCGTGTACTCCATTGTCTCGGGAAAAGATTGTAAAAAAAAAAAGGAGAAAAATTGAAAAGCAAAAACACTGAGGCAATTGCAACTGCAACTGCAACTTCAGCAGCAACATTAACATCAACTGTGCAGCAACGTGAAACTTTTACCCGCCCGCTATTTTGGCGGCCTATTGAGCAACCGCCTCACATACGACTTAACTGCTTTATAGGCCATGCAAAATTGAAGCAATCTCTGGCTTGGCTTTGGTGTGGCTTGTTTTTCCATTTTTCAACTAGGAAAACTAGGAAAAGTGAAAAAACGAAAACAACAAAAAATATAAAAACAAACGAGTGCAACGGCAGCAGCAGGCTGTTTGCTAATAAAATCTAATTGATTGTAATTGTTTCTTAAAGCGAAAACTAACCAGTTGTTAAATCGCTGTACCGCACGCGGTTTTTCTGTTGCCTTGTCGATCGGTTTTCAAGTGCACGAAAGTAAGTGCGAGTGTTTTTAGACTAACTAACAAACATTGCAAAAGGTCAAAGCAGAAACAACACATAAATCAAAACTAAGGAGTGGGAGTCCCAAAAAAAGAAAGAAAAGGAATTGCTTACCGCCAAAAATAAATACATAACAGTTTACAAGCAGCAGACAACAGCAGCAGCAGCATCAGCAACATGTTGCCGAGGATAACTTTTGTGTTCATCATCATTTGTGGATATTTATTATTTACTGGTAAGCTGTGAAGACAATCCCCCAGGCCATAAATCAAAAATTCCCACAATATTTATGTGCCTCGAATGCTAAGTAGAGAGGTTACTTACAAGATGTACTGACTTCGTCGAGTCTTACAATACACTTTATGTTACACAGATGCCCTGGCTTTTACTTTTTAAGATCGTTTTACCCTTACCATAAACTAAATTTATGTTTTTTTTTTTAATTTAAAAACCATTAAAAATCCCAGTAAAGTGCTTTAAAAAAATGGCAAAGTTTATTCACACTTGCAATCAATTCTCGAGCTTTGACTTTTAATTATCGATTATTCAATCTCTTATAGCCAAAAATCTCAAGTAGTGGCATTTGCATATCAATCATGATAGACAGACATAAAAATTTCATAAAGTACTAGATTCCTTTAAGAGATTTATAGGTGATCAATATATTTTAGACAGATGTGTTTAAGTACAAAGAGATGCCAAAACTGCAGGGTATTCTCACTAGCCATGTACAACAGAAGAACTATTTTTTATGGTCAAAGCAACAAGGCTGGCTTGGCACAAGTTGTTTTGGCTTGGATTTAGTTAATCAAATTACACACACAAAAAATGCCAGTTAAGCGCAATAAATTCTAGCAGATTACACGACAACGCCGTCACATTGAGGTACATATATGTATTCTTTTCTAGTTGAAGTTACAGGGATAAGTCACTAAAGAAAACCTAATATAACCTATTATATCAATTATATCTGAAATATTCTTCAATTTTTAAAACCAAGAAAGATTTTATAAGGCTGTTGGTACAAATAGTTTTATATTTAAAAATAAATTTTGATAAAACTCAAAATATTATGGCGATAAATTAATTTTGAAAGAATTTTAAGAACTTTATAAGTCCTGGAAGGGACTTTTAAAAACACTTTTTAAGCCAAAGAAATAAGAAACCTTTTAAAATTTTGGGGTAACGAATTTTTATAGTTTTTGTTATTATTTCTTCTCCCCATTAACTGAAGTGAATAATATCTTTTAGGTATGTTTTATTATAGATTTCTTCCTCCCAATCTCTACTGTACTTCAGTGTCTCACTTCAAGCGGAGGCGGGATGCAGCCGGCGTTGAGGCAAACCGACCGCCTGCCTTGATGTGTCAAGCGCTGGCTGACAAAACCGCAAGCCAAAAACTGCGTTCAAAACGGCGTTGCATTTGATTTTGTTGTTTTTGGTGTTTGTCATTCCATCGGGTGGCAAGCCAAGGCAAGGCAAAGCAATTCAATTGGCCACTTGGCGCATGCGTAACTTCATTTTATTTTATTTTATTTTTTTGTTTTGCTGGCTGGCTGGGAAGAGCCTGAAAGTTGCAAAATCTGACACGACACCATGCGAAATATATTCGCATGTGTTTTATTACCCAGTCCCAGTAGTAGCAAAAGTTCAGGTTATTTATGAGTCCGGTATATTGCGGCAATTGCATTTGAAGATGCTGACGCCTGGGAAAACTTTCTAACTTCTGGCCACAGACTCACTCTAAGCCAGCGGCAGACCAACCACCAGACAGGAAAGTTCTATTTTATTATATATTTGGCATTTGACATTTGCATCGTTTTGAAGGTTGCCCAAGTCCGCACCCCGAAAAAAAATATGCTGCACGACATTTTGTGTAGCAAATGCAAAAAAAAAAAAAAAAAAACAACAAAAACAGAAAAAAATTATATATAGACAATAATAAAAGCGAAATTAAGCGACCGAAGCGAAGGCCATGCGAACCAATCCGCCTTCTTTTGCCTAACGTCTAACGTCTGCCTTCCGATAGTTACCTTCTTGCCATTTCAATCCCAATGAGGTGCGATTTGTGCTCGCCTCTAATTAACAGTCATTTGCTGGCATTGTGTTCGATTATAAGTTGGATTTTAATAAAGTTTTCATGTCAAAAGTAGTTGCCCACACCGGCGAACATAACTCAGACTAGGCGAAATGTCAAAGTGTTGACAATGGCAGGGAGTACCCTGTAGAAAAGTTGAAAAGAAGTCTTGTGTCTCAGGTGAAATTGGGAAAAATGCTAAAATAAGTATTAAATATTAAAAACATGATTAAGAAATATTCTTATTCTTATACTACGATATGATGATTACTTTTTAGTTTATATATTTTATCCCCTCCAATACATAGCATCATCCAGTCGCAAGTGCATTTCGTTTACATACTTCAGTTGCAGATTTATTTATGAATTCTTTTCCGAAAGGCAGTAACTTACATATAACAACCTTTTTGGAACTGTCTGTACTATTGTGGGAGTCTAGTCTAGAGCTGTTCCTTCTAAAAACCACTCTTCAAACTTTACCATCTAAATTTTGAAAGTTGCCAAGTAATGGCGAAGGCTTCGTCTTCATCGTCGACATCGGCTTTGGCTTGATCTCCATGAATGGATGGAAGAATGCACCCCAGGCCCTCGAGTTTTTCGGAGCCCATCATCCCGACGAATGGCTTCCCACTCACATTAACCCAAAGCCAAAGCATCCGTCTGTTGGCCACACAAATCAGTCGCTTCAAGCCAAGCCAGCGCGGCGTATACGTAATACGTAATGCATGCCAACTCTAACTGGCAAATAACCTTTCAGCTGCCGTTCGGCACATCCGCTTTGGGCAGATTGTCAGATGTTTTAGCCATAGTCAACCATTTGCCATTCGAATGCAAATGATTTTCAATTATTGCGACAGTCAGGCGAACAGATAAGTATTTATGTCTATGAGAAAATGAAAATTATTTTTGATATCTACGTTTTTTTATGATTTTAAGTTTGGTGGTAAAAAATATTTGGCTTAAGCTTGTGGTTTTTATAAAGATAATTTAAAGGAATGAAATGAAATATTTATTTGGAACCTTATATAAATAAATAAAAAAGTAAACCAAATCTCGTTTTTATTATCTAAGCCCACATCAATTTACGTGCACATAATTGACCAAATGCTGATAAGTCAGCAATGTGGGCTTAAAAGCTGGCCAAAATAATGGCAAATTCGCCAGGTGGAGGAAATAACTTTGCACGCAATTTTTTCGCATTTTCATGTTCGAAATTAATTGATTTATATGCATGGCTAACAACAAATACAAATGCGAAATACAAAATTCTGTTGCGGAAAACAAGACAAAAAATTTGACCCAATCCGCCGGTGCACACACAAAAGATTTACCTCGGCCAAACATTTTTGCGCGTAAGTCAAACATTTGGCACACATGAGAAAACAATTTATGCGGCTGTCAGCCAACACATTTGGCCAGGCCAAAAAACAAACCAAAGCAGGACCGCCCAGCTGACACATGCAAATCTGTTACCCAAGTCAATGGCCAACAAAGGCGATAAGTTTTTGGCTTAAAAAATGCCACAAAGCTCAAATCAGATTGAGTTTTTACTGAATTGATTTGACCATTTGTCAAGGAATTTCCCTTTTTCATAAAAGGTGAACTGAGATTAATCCACTTCCTTGATAACACTTCATCTATCAAGAATCTTATTAAAAATATTCTACCAAACTGCAGATTCATAGAATATTTGATTGGCTTCACTATAGAATGCCATTCAGAATCATCCATAAATTTCAACTACAACATCATCTGCGAAATCCCCAAACAGAATCCATTAAATCGCTGCTCATGTTAATGCTCTGGCATAATTTTCAATTAAAATGAAATTTGTTTTGTGTGCGACAAATTGCGGAAAAATTCAGTCATTTATATTTATGAGATATGCGACATGAAAAACTGCCCAGGCGACCTCTACTGGCACATCACCTTTTGCGCCCGCCCAGGATGTGGAAAATTCTGAACGGCTGAGGTTTGGTTGGAAAACTGTGGGAATCAGTCGCGGATTTTCAATGCAATTAACGTGGAAAAATGCATAATTACATATAAAAGCTTATTAAACTGATTTTGTAGCAGACAACCATGATCAGTGACTTTGGGTGTGGGTTAAGGGTTATTCGGTAAATTTATCATTGAACTTAACCCATCTTTACATTGATTTAAAGAGAGATTTAAAGTTTTTTGGCTACAGCTTTCTACAAATTAGTATACATTTCTTGTATTACCCAACCGTTTGATTGTCCATTAAACTGATCGAACCAATCCTGCTAGACAACCCTAATTCCAAACTTGTTAGCTTTATGATTTTCCCAAAAAAAAAGATTGATCGTATAACTGGCGGAAAATGAAACCCTTCCTCAAGCCAAATTCCCAACGACGCCCACACTCGAATGTAAATTTATAGTTGTAATGAGCCGGCACAGCAGCTTAACAAGCCGAAAACTTATGTAAGAAGTTTGTAAATTAATCGAGGAGTTGAAAATGTTGTTGTATATTTACCCGGCAAGCTGACCACCTCCTATGGAATCTCAGCCTTAAGCGAATATAGTTTTGGTTACGTTTGTACACAGAGATAAAAATATAACTAACAATTATTTAAATTATAATCATTATAAATTTTAAATAATTTGAATCCAGGATATACTTTCATATAATGATCTAAATACGAGCTTAGAAACATTTCCTTAAACTTTGGGATTCTTTTTCTCAGTGCATTATGCCAGGCAGCGGTTAACTTGAATTGGTGGGTGTCTTATGGCCAATCGATAAAGATCTGGAGACAACGAGAGCGGTTCTAACTGCATTTCGTATTAAATTTTATTCGGCAATTCGAATTCAGCTAGAAGTTCTTTGGCCTAAAACGAAACTAGTTGGAGTTCGGGGGATTTAAAGTTTTTGGACATGGCTAACAAATAGATTTTTGGCTGCGTTCATAATTTAACCATGCAACAGGGAGTGGGTATATATACAGCTATATACTAAATATCAGTTGGGATCTGAAGAGGTGGTAGAAGGGGTGCACATTTTATACTGGCTAGACAAAGCGCCTTTGAGCTATTTGCGGCCATTGAAAGCGCTGCTGCACGAAAAACTGCCGGCAAACATAGCAGTGAACTCGTTCATTTTGTGGCATTGTTTTAGGTCTTTTGCTCAGAGGTTTGGCTCTGGCCAACCGAGGTTTTATGCAATGCATTTAGTCAATAGATTAAGGAGGCCTGCGAAATACAAACACACACATAACAACTATATAGAAATCTAGATTTATATATCCCCCCGTGCCTAAGTGTTTGTAACAAATCGTGACTGCATGAGGTTGCCGTTAAAATATACTGCCCTCCCCAAAAACAACTGGCGATTGAGCGGCATAAAATGAAAAACTTAAGCTTTTTGTCCCCAATTTTTAAGGTGGAGCTCGCGACAATTTTTCGGTGGCTTTCAAGTTTTTGTGAAGTTTCAGTGATTGGGAAGACAGTAATCTGTACAAACGATGGGATAATCGAAGTGGTTTTCAATATAATGATAAAGTTTAGGTATTATCCTATGACGCTTATGACCATAATAAGCTAGTATTCCTTGCTTAATACCAATAACAATTATATACTTTTAACAACTTTTTTTAACAGCCGGATATTGCTTCTTGTAAACTTTTAACAACAAACTTAACAACCGGATATCTTTAGCTAAAGTTATATTTTACCTGATTAAATTAAAGACCATTAAAGACGATATCTGTAGAAATACCAGTATTTATGAATCATTTTTAAGGCCAACCATGCTTAATTTGACTGCGGCACCACCTGGCAGATTTATGGAAATGTCGCTGGCCAACGCACCACCACCACACTGCCACACTGCCACATCGTATCGGCACATGCAACAGGAAATTCATTTACATAATTTTTGCGTTTGGCCATTTCGCATCCTTTGCGCTTGACTGGGCATTATCCTTTTAATAAGCGAGTGGGTGAGGCAGATGGGTGGCAGGTAGATCCAGGCGGCAGGCGGCAAGCGGCGGTACGGCGGGCACATGGCAAGCCGTGTGGATAATCAGCCTATCAAGGATTCAATTATATAATGAGCTTAATTTATTTTGCGCCGCTTTACGCGCTTGCAACAGCAAGGACAAACAAGGACAGTAAAGCCTTGTTCCATTGGTCACCCATCCGATGATGTTCATCATGCCAACTGAATTATCCTGGTTAATGTTGTTGTTTTCCCTCCTGTCGCTGACAGTTCTCTGTGACATGGAAGGATATGCCATGGCATCGTCTTTTACTCTCTTTTTTTTTTTTTTGCCAATGATTTATTTTCACATAATTGTTGCTCCGCCAAGCTCCACATTCAACCTCGCACTTCCTGGCTTGGCTTTTTTAACCCTTTAACCGATTATGGCCAAGAAGAATGGGCAACGCTAATGGGCCTGATGACTCTTTATGGCTGACATTAAGATGTAGTAAGCGGGTAATTTATTCGAGATACTTGTACGTTGAAGGTAAATTGAAAATACTTTTTAAGATAGACATTGATTGGAGTGTTAATATAAACACTCATTAACTTAGAGGGTGTAAAAAAAGAGGTTCATAGTGTAAGCTTATTACTTAGATTTATGGATTTCTAACTAAAATCAGTGATGCAACAAACAAACTGAACTGAAACTGAATCAAACCCAATAAATCAAAACTAATTTCTAGATGATCATACTTTAATTGTGAAAGCGAAGAAAATACGAACTTTTACCTTTCCCGTAATTGAGATGCGGAAAAAATTTCCTTCACTTAACCAATTGAGTTCCTTAACTCCTCCAGTCTAACCTTCCACTCCCAACAACTGGGTTTAGACATTAATAATGCCATTTAGAGAGGCGGACAGGAGGATAACTGATAAAACTGAAAGCCACAAAACAGTTTAATTTATGTTCAGTCGAAACCAACTTCAGCAGCAACAGTACAAACAAGACCAAAATGGATTCCTATAACCTAAGTCTAATCATCCACAAGCCAAGACAATAGGCCTACACAAGAGCAACAGGGCTAAAAACGAGAAAGATGCGCCTACGCCGATAAAAACTTTTGTGGCAATTTGATTTATGTGGCGGATTTTTATCAGTCGTCGGGGATAGGATTACCTGGCCTGGTGGCAGCAAAAAGGTGCCAAATTCAACGCCAAGTCAAACCAAAGCCAAAAACACACACAACAATTACAATTGTGAAATGCGTTTCTGTTTGCTATTTAATTTCCCCCTCAGCTGCTGACTCAATTTCGCGTACACAACGAAAGGCAATTACTTTAATTATGCGAGTCTGCATATAGTACAAAAACAAAAACACAAAAAACCCAATCACAGGGGCGACGACGACAACAAGCCAACCAAACCAACCAAACCGAACCGAACTGAAGCAAATCCAAACCAACCAAAGCGAAGCAAATCATCAGATTGGATGGAGCAACACATGAAGAAGGATGCGGGATGTGAGGAGCGGTGGTCTCCGATCCGGAGGAGAGTGGCAACAACGTCCGTTCAGTTTGGGTTACCTAACCCGCAGACAACCAGCTAGCCAGCTAGCCAGCGACAACAACCCGTCTGACGTGGCAAAGGGGTGTGCCCCATGACGACGCACTACCATCCGTTCGTTGTTCCCCACCTAAAAGAAGGAAAAAATTAAATCTTTTATGGCTAAATTTTACACTTGCAGAGGGCATTGCAATTTTCCATGAAATTTGTTTTACAAATACGATATTAGTTGGTCTGCAAAACAGACAAAGATTAAAAACAGTTCCCTCCAAAAGGAATGGTACTAAAAAATGATATTAACCATAACTCTTTGCAATCGCAAATGGCCTGTTCACGGATGTCTGTTTATTATTAATAATTCCGCTTTTAAAGTTTTCAAAAACTCATAAATATAATTACACTCTTAATTATATTCAACAATAATGTCCATCTATAACTTTTGTAAATATATACAAGATATTTTCAAGATATTAAAATCATAAATTAAGATTTAACTAATAAACAAACTAACCCAGGGTATCTACCTCTTCGGTTAGCTATTAGAACTTTATGTTTTTCTCTCACGCACAAAACTTTTTGACATAAGGCCTTTAACAAATGCGTGGCTAATGGACTTGGGTACAGATATAGATATCGAGATTTATGCTCCGACGTGGACACATGAATATGTGAATAACCGAGCAATTTTGGTTTTTTTTTTTTTACAATTTGTCGCCGCAATTGCAGTTGGCCTCTGGCAGCAAGACTCACCTCAACGCGCGCCTAATTACAATTTGATTGTTTTTCTTTTTCACAGTAATTATTTCAATTGTAATAAATTTTGTTGCTATTTTTGCGAAATATAATTTTGCAATTTGTCGGCCGTGGTGGCTCAGTGGTTGTTAGGTGGCTATACGTATGGCTAATAATTTAATTTTTAATTTTATGCTTTCTGCATTCGATTGGTTTTTGCGTGGGAGGCGGTTTGGATTTGGCCTAATTGGTCTGTGCTCTCTGAGCCGAAATGCTCGGCATTTTGCAGTTAATTTGTTTCGTGTTAAATAATTAGCTAACACTAACCTGTGGCCAACTAACGGCTGCTGCCTCTTACCGAATTGGGTCTGTAAATGGTTTATGGTTTGGTCAAAATTTGCTGGAGAGCCGCCAATAAAATCAGGAAGTTTTTAGCTTTAATGGTTACAAAATCAAAATTAGTATTTACGAGTTAGTAACATGAGCATTCATTAATTATTTTTTGCAAATCTCAAAGTATTACTCATCGATCGAAACAGCTGCATTGAGTTTTGCCTTCCCTTGTGGATAATTCTAACGACTAAGCCCACACTCGCGATCCATGATTCGATGCAATACCAGATCATTGGCCAGGCAAAGTTTATAGCAAACATTCAACTCAATTACACAACCAAAAACGTTTGTAAAAAAAAAAAAAGTGTAAATAAAAAACAGACAACTGCGGAACAAGGTTAAGGTCAATTACAACAGGCAAAATCAGCGACAGCGACAACTGCCAGCCATGTGAATAAATTGCGCGTGAAATGTAGAATATAAAATGAAGAACAAGTTGTGTGGCAACTTCCAGTGTCTGCTGCAATCTTACAAAATCTAAATAAATAAAGTGAGGTTGACAATAAAATGCCCAAAAAAAGATAAACATGACATGAAACGTTACTATTGAGTAAGGAAATATATAGAATTTTTGTATTATTTCTACCCAATTTTGTAACTAGAATTTTCAAGACCAAATCTAAACTAGTATTTGGGCCGTGTGAAGGAAGTGGAGCAGAATTACAGCCGCAAATAAATCAAGTTTATTAAACAGAAACAACAACAAATCAAGCTAATGAGCCTAAACACCAAACTATGCAAAATGAGATAAATAAAACAAAATTATTATTGAGCAATTACCGCAACGTTCTGCAGGTGGAGGCAGATCTTTTCCCACTACCAAAGAAGCTGCAAGGTCAGCCACTAAAAAAAAAACGGCAACCGCACGAAACTTGTCATCAGAAGCAGTAATAACAAAATCTACACAATCTACAACGAAATGTACAACATGGAACATACACTGGAATTATACTTCAGAATTATTATCTGGATTTTTAAAAACTCAACTTTGGATATTTTATATAATTGTTGAAATAAACTTTATTACTAAAAGCTTTTATTTTTATGCCAGATCATCTTTATAGTTTTAGGTATTCCTTGTCTGCTATTTATAAATATTTCTAATAGTGTAAGAGAACAATTGTTGCCCAATTGCTTGAATTGCTTCTCCAAAAGAGAATATTAAAAACCAAAAAAGCGGGTCAGACACATCTGAGGTTAAAGTTAACTCTAGTCAGCTACTGGCTGATTCATTAACTTGCTCAGGGAGTGGCTAACGGGGCATCGGGCAAATCATATCTGTATCTTGACATTAAAGTGAATGATTGGCATCGCCGCGAATTTAATGTTTTTCCCCTTCGACGAAACCTTGAACTTTAGAGATTTTGAGGCTGGCTTAGTTAATTGGTCTAATTTGTGTACTACTTGCTTGCAGATTGCCATGAAACGGTTCGTTCCAAGCGTGCCAAACGCCCACGGGCACCGGAACCGGTTAATTTCGAACCCGAGCCGCAACAGGATTTGGAAAACGATGAGAGCGGTAGTCAGGAGAAGGATCTGCCGGAGATACCAGATAACTTTTTGAGTCCCTCTGTGAGGGAGTATCTTGAACTTGGAAAATCTATTCCAGGTAAGTTTAAAAGTTGTATTCAAGGATTCTAAAGAGTAGATGATTTTAGTTAATAAATACTGATTATCTTTTTAAAATGGTTTATCCCATTGACAATACAGTCAAAAGTCCTATAAATAAACATCGCACAAAATCGAAAAACAATGGAGAAGGGTCCTTCTTTCGGCCGAGGGTAATATGTACATTTTTTTTGGGTAGTCGGGCGGCAGGCAATTCGCGCTGAAGATGTGGCTGTGAAATGCATTTCGGGCTATCAGCGACAGGCCAGAAAAAAGTGCACGATTTTAAATTATTTTCCGGCGAACAGAATGGATATTTGGCACAGAAGTGCATCTACTCGTAAATTCATTTATTAGCGCCAGAGAGAGGCGACAGGAACCGGTTTCGGGGATTTGTTTATGTCGCGTTTATTTTTGTTTCCTTTTTTTTTGCTTTTTGTTTTTGTTTTTGTTTTTGGGTGACCCCGGTGGCAGCGCCTGCAGTTGACACTTCTGGGCGGTAGGAGAGCAGCACTGTTTTTTCTACAGGTTTCTTTCAAGTAAGGTTGGTTGAATGAAGTGAAATTGATTGGAAACCGCCGACTGCGTGACATGCAGTTTGTTTTTGGTTTCGGTTTATCGGTTTATTTGCCACTGGGTAGCGCCTCACTAATTGCAATAACAAAATCATTTGCAGGTCGTCCAGGCGTTGACTATCCCATACTGTCGGCGGTGCCGTACACCAATTTTTACTGCGACGAACAGGAGTATCCTGGATTCTTTGCCGATATGGAGACAAGGTGTCAAGGGTGAGTAAAAATCAAACTATCAGAAACATGTGTTTCTGTTACGATTTGACCTTAAACAGAAATACAATTTTTATTATAAATCTGCCATAATTGATTAACACTACGTATTCCACTTCAGGTTGGCACTACTGCGACATAGATGGACGCCAGGCCTCGTTCCTCTGCCCAAATGGCACCCAATTCTCACAGGCGGTCTTCGTCTGCGACTGGTGGTTCAATGTGCGCTGCGATCTCTCACCCCGGCTGTATGCCATTAACGCCCGACTCTACCAGCGCCCCAAGGTGAACCCAACTCGGCCACATCGCATCATTACCAAGCAACTGGTCGAAGATATCTTTACCTAAAAGCCCCACATAGCCTCCTCTTAAATTAGCTTAAGTTTGTCGTTTGCCTATTAGTTAATAGATTAGTTCTAAAACATTAGGTTGGAGATTTGAAATTAGAATGGAAATATGAACACCACCATTCTTTATAATTAAAAGGTTATTTTCCATTTTGGACAGACTTTATTCGTTAAAAAAACTTGAATCGATTTCCAATAGTTTCGCAAGGTAGAATTTCTATAAAATATGTCAATTTTGAGCACTTTTGTAACAGTAACTTTTTAAAATTAATAATTGTTTTAACTCATTTGTATTTAGTATTACCAATTCTAGAAAATAAAAATAAAAAATTTAGCATTTTCTACGATTGGTATTGTACTTAATATACATTTTTGCAAGCATTTCATTAGTAAGTTGCATTTTTCTTAGCATAATTATAGCCTAGAAAATTTAAAGTAATTCCTTAAGTTTTGTATATATTTTTAAACTTTATTATCAAATTCAAAATACATTTATTCTTAAGAAAGAAAAAAGCTTATTTTATTTGGATTGAAATGGTTCAAAAGAATTTTATGTCAAACTAAACTATATTTGCGGTTAAAAAGTTTTTAGATTAACTTATTTTTATAAGTTAAAATAATAAATGAAAATGAAATGTTCGTCCATTTTTTAACAAATTAAATGCAAAAATTGGGTAAAATATTGTCTTTGAAATGCCATTTTATTATTTGGCCATTTTTATAAAAACTGATGGTCCTCACCCTATCAAAAAGTAAATTTCCCAAAAAATTAAATTTCAGAATGTGGCCAAAAAAGTTTTTATGTTGTAAGTTTCGGACGAAAGTTACAAAAAACAGTTTTTCACATAGCTCTAGGACGTGTTTTGGGGTAATTTGTGGCACTAAATCCAGGAAAAACATTTTGACATTTTCTTGTATAGCCTTTTTGCAAAAATTGATGAGCCCGACCTGTAAAAATGCGAATATTTTTCGGTCTAGTCGTTGTTTTAACTAATTTATGGCATAAAAACCGCACAATATATTTATTTACAGCTCAGGTTGAGGGGCAAAGTAAAAAACCTATCTCGAGCAATAAGTTGTAGCATACTTTCGCCCTGCTTTTGATTTAAGCAATCAGCCTAAAAGACAAAAGCGGAGACCAATACAAGTTGGCCCAAACACGTCATCCGGCAGCAGCATCAACGTCAGCAAAAGTAGCAGTAAAAGCAATAAAACACCTCAAAGAGCCACAAAAAGAAGCGGCTAAAATCGTGCCATGCCCAGATGCTCGGCATGCGGCTCAATGGTCTAGGGGTATGATTCTCGCTTTGGGTGCGAGAGGTCCCGGGTTCAAATCCCGGTTGAGCCCGGCTCACAAATATTTTTATCCAAACCAACTACGAACTACCAAAATTTTTATGGTCACGGCCCCCAAACTTAATTAAACAAACAAAGCAATAGCGGCAGCGAAATGAGCGATGTGAAAATGCAGATTGCAATGCATTTTTCGGCCAGCCCAACAAATAAACGAGCGACGTAGCACAGATGGCAACGCGTTGATTGGATGGCAAATAAAATGAAGTAGCAATAGAAGCGGCTTACACTAGTGATCAGTGATGGCAGTAATCCTACAATTTGTACCTGTACTCACTATTTCTTTTAAAAAGTAGGTACAGGAAACATATGAACTATCTTATTTTTGTTTTAAAAAGTTTCGAATTTAAGCTCCCAAAAACGTGTAGCACCATTATGTATTACCATCTTAATAAAAGTCTTGTTCATTGAAAATAAATCAAAAACACAATTAAATGCTCGAAAAAGAAAGATGGTAGACAGGATTAAGAGAACAATTTATGTTTCATGGTTTAACATTACTGCAAACCATTTAGGTAAAAATCAAGTGGCACTTATAGACACAGCATTACTTGTAATGAAAGGCAGGCCAAGCGAATGACTTTTCGGCTAATACTCGTATTACCTACCTACCATCAACTTTGAGCCAAGCACATGCAACTACTACTTGTTTGGGGCATTTACGATTGACTTGGCCGATAAGTCTTTGTGTGTTTTATCGCCGACAATTGGAAAATTGAACAATGAGTGTCGCTCTGGGCCCCAAAATGAAAACTCCAACTCCACGCGAACAGAAAGTGTGAAAGACTAACAGAGGCAAACGAAAACTCGAACTCGAACTCGAACTTATGATGTGATGTAACCGAACCCCCCACAAAACTATTTCTTTGGGATCATTTCACTTTATTTATTTCTTTGTGACGGAAAAACCAGGGACAAAGCCATCTGCCAGCCATAAATACATTTTCGCTCAAAGAATAGAGCCATCATATTTTGTAATGGCCTTACATGGCCACATCGCAGCGAATTATTACCAAATCAAAAAGCCAGCCAAATGCACATCCGAAAAAAAAGAGATATGAAAACTACTTTCACTAGCTTGGCTGTATCGGAATTAAAATTATCATCCAGCAATATGCAAGTTTTTTGATCCGCGTTCGCCGTCTGACAAAAGTGCGGAGACTGGCCTTCGCATCGGGACGAGATGATCGGATCTGCAGCTGCCTGGATGGATGCCAAGACAAGATGGCAACAAGTGCGGGCCAGTTTAAGATACATATAACCAGCATACAACCACCAACATGGCTAACCGAATTTAGTGGCTAAGTATTCGCTAGGTGCAGGTTAGCTAGCATGTTTATGTCAGATCAAGTTAGCAGTGCTAGCCTTCTGGAGGTGAGTGCGATAGTTAATATTTAAGTAGATTCCAACAAATTATTATTATTCAAAAATAGAATGCTGACTGTAAAAAATATATATAAAAACGTAAACTTAGGTAATTTGACTGGTAAGTTAGAGCAGAAGAACTCATTATTATTTAAGATTGTTCTATAATAGTTAAAAAAATATATAAATTTGAAAAAATTATAACTTTAAATGGGACTTACAATCAGTAAGTTGAACTTTGAAATATGACCTTAAATTATTACAAAACTTTAAAACTTACAACAATTAAAGGTAAGGAAAGGCTAAACTCTACAATGTAACTAGCTACTTATATAGTTTTCTTAATCTATATTAAAGGTGTGTCTTTAAAGATTAAACAAAAAAATTGCTAAGTATTTAACAAATTCCTTAACATAAAACGTGTTCAATTCACATTTTTGTGGCTAACAACACACGATGCCACCACTAGGCCACATTCTGGCATGCCTTGGCCAAGCAACAACGACAGGAAAAATATGACAAACTGCAATGGAATAAATCGGAATTCTTGCCACAGCGTTTGGCGACGGGCATCGGTGGCGTATGTGTAATACATTTCGTGTACTTTTTTTCTTAGCAAAGCAGCGCACGACGAACCGAAATCAATCCCAAATGTAGTTGAACAAATCACGAGAAGCAAAGAGCTGCTGTCAAAAAAAGTCTTAACCAGATCGTCTAATGATTCGGTTGGAGACCAACAGATTGCGAGACAGGTGTGGTGCGGTTCCATAACTGTTAATGACTTTCGGTGGCGGCCTCAAAAGTGCATTGGAAACACATTTAATGAGTGCCACAAACAGCGGACAGCAGACTGCTGATCAATTGCCTGTTGTCGGCCAAGTGAATGTCATTGGCTATCGAAAGTGAATGTTCGTTGCCCCCCGTGGTGAAAGGATCACTGTTTTGGTTTTCTGGGATTCCCACTAATGAGCCGGCTTAGGTGGGGCGGACATTCTCAGCATCGTTCATCTGCCAACGATGTTGCAACAAGTTGCACTGGCAAAGAAAATTTGTAGCTATGATGTAAAAACAGATGTATATCTTGTTGATTACCCATTCATTTAACCAGGAATTGCGAATTATCTCCTTAACTTCACTTTTCAACAAATAAAATCCTTTTAAAACTATAAAATGTAGAAGGTGGAAAACTCATACAAATTTTCCCCAAGTGTTTCCCTATGACTTACAATTGTGCAAGCGGGACCCAGAGAGCAGACCGAGCTTAATTTGCCTATCAATGCTCTTTTTCAATTTACGTGATGGATTGCGGCATCTCTAGGCTATGAAATATGAGAACCCACCGCTCCAAGTCACGCAATTCAAGTGTAAAATTACATTTTCTTCATTCATAAAATGCAACATGTTGCCGACGCTGCTGCTCTGCTGTTGTTGTTGCTACAGCTGAAGTTTGCAGAGAAAAGCGTGAGCATTTCCCCCTTGTAATGAGGCAACCACAATGCGCTATTGCGGGTGCTGCGGAATGTTGTGGACGGTACATTGTGGACAGGAGGGAAGGATGGGTTGGGCTATGGAGGAAGGTATGGTAACCACGGCTCTGGCCATAGATGTAATACCAGAAGGCGTGAAAAGTCGGTTATTTGGTCAGTTGTGGGCAAAAGCAGACACAACAATCAACTGACCAGCACCCACAGACATGTCCATATTGTAAAATCAACTAGTTATGTATAGAGACTACGCAAATGTGCCAAAAATAATGTAAGAAAAAGATCGAAATAAAAAAATTAGATAACTCTGACTTAAAAACCTGCATATAGTTTATATATATGATTTTTATCATCTAAAACCCATTATTTCTTAGCTTGGTATAAGAAAATCCTGCCATGAAACCTAAAGTTGTCCAGAAACACCTTCAGTTCATTTATTTATTGTATTTGTTTTGGGATATATGACCAACTAAATTGCAGCTTTCTTGGCTAACAACCAGTAAGGACAAACAGAAATAAGATTTTGGCCACCTCCAACAAATCAAAGGCAAGAAACTAAGATGATGAATTTTCTGCCAGAGATTCATGTTGGTAAATCATAAAGGCCATGACAAATGCTCTTAGCTGTTAGGTGTGGAGTCCGGGGATATAGACGAGTGTAGCTGTGGCTAAACAAACCATTACACTCATTGTCAAATTAAGTGTAAATAACTCGGTTGTATCAACAAATAAATCATGCCACTCAACAGAAAAACTCTGGTCGCAGTCACTCAACAGTTGAAGTGCAGAAAACAAAGAGGCAGTTAAATCGAACACAAAAGCGGGGTGAGAGGGTAAAGTGCATTTGCATAATGACAATGCAATTTCAAATAAACGCAGGACACATGTCAACGAATAAATTAATTTACTCTAAAATTATTTATGCAGCAAACAAAGAGAGTGTAGCCCTGGAAAGGGCACTGGAGAAAAAAGGATTCACATTTTGGATATCAAGAATCTTTCATCGAATTTTCTAAAATTAGTTTTAACTTTAACTATTAGTGTAAGCTGAGGAATGGGTACCTCCTAACTTCCTAACCTATTGATACTTTATTTAATACCCCAAAATGTTACATATTTGTGTACAGTGCATGGACCAACAGATCCGATCCCAAACGACACGCACACGGCATATAACAGCCAACTTCCAGCATACAATGGATACCAGAGACTGGGACAGATTGGTCGGCCGGTCGGCTGGTTGGTTCGCTGCTCCCAAAATGAGGATTGGGGGAGTGGGAAATGGGCTCCAGGGGTGAGCCTAATGAAGGAAGTATTTTGGTGTCTGCCTTGTTGCCTGAGCACACATCTATGGACGGACATACGGACATGTTCACCAGCACTTTCAATTGCACCTGCACACCTGTGCCAATGGACGCCTACATGGATTCAATCTGGTTTCGTCTCGTCTCCACTCTTGCCAGCATCGTCATCTGCATTAATTGTATGGCTATGATGGGGCTCTGCTGCCACTGATGACAATGGCTCTATTTGCCTAAACTGCCGCTAGACCGAAACTTAAATAGCCCAAAATACAGTTTGCCTCGATTTCTTGGCCATCAAGAGAACGGGTGGTATGTACCTTTCATCCAGATACCAGCCAATGGTTTTTCTGTTGGCTACCAGGCCACTTTTCAATTATAACAAAAAAAGACTCAAACCCTCAAAACGAATGGCAAACGCAGTGCGCGCCAAAACTCAAAGGCGTGCAATTTGAAATGCCAATTGATTTTGCCCCGGAATATAAAAAAAATATGGCATGTACATTTCTGTTAGCAATCCCGGTGACTTGTTAGTTTGCTGTTGGTGCCAACAGGCAGGCGAGGCGGCTGGCTTGTAGTAGCGCAAAAAGTGCTGCAATTGAAACGCAAAATAAACTGAAAGTGGCGACCGGAGATGGGTCAACTGTCAAAGTGGACGAAGTTGGAATGCCCTTAAGATGAAACTTTTCATAACATAATTTTCATGATGTAAGAGCATTTTCAAACATTTTTAAAGAATAATTCGTTGATGAATGTTCTTAGTTTTAAAGTTTTTTCGTGGCAAGCCATAGGTGTATAGACCATAAATCTATGATTGTAAAACTTTAACTTATTATAAGTTGTGTTTCAAGTTAATACATATATAAGTTTGTGGGAAAAGTTTTAAGGTCTTAAATTGTAATATTACTTTAAGGGTTTAGTATCCTAAAAACGAGGAGCAACACATCCAGACCAAAAGAAAACGTTGACCCAAAAGAACCAGCATCCTATTCAGTCTATACCAACCAAAGTCAGTCTAGGAACGATTCCCACTACTTTCTGCCTCTCATCCCTATGAAAAGGAATGACTTCCATTCAATTGCTCTTTGTACGATTCATGGCGCGTGATTTTTGCAACTTGTGTTCGCGGCTTTTCACCAGGCACTATTTTTAACCAACATCGCAGCAACCTCCTAGCTTTTAGCTTCTCTAGCTCCATCATGCCACCTCCTACTACTCCATCTCCTTTTGACCAGACCGCAAACATTTTAGCCAGAAGCCGCAGCTACAATGTTGACAACGTCAACCCGTGTCCGTGTCCACGTCGTCTCTGCCACCGCCTTCGTGTTTTTCCATGCCACCAATGTTTGTCCACAATTCAAAATCATTTAAGCGCGCTTTCTGCTCTTTGCTAACTGAAAGAGAAGATGGGGAAAACAGGCATCCCCTTTTTGTGTGTGTGTTTCCTTCTGTTCGCCGCAGTTTTTCCTTATTTTTCCCCCCACTGCTATTCTTTTTATGGATTATTTTCACGCCTCTGGCACTTTGCATTTTGCCTTTTTGCGGTCTGGGAACAAAAAATACTAGCTATGCTGCGCCATTGACTAGCATATTTTTCTTTTGCCTTCGCTTTATAATTGAAAATCCTACAAAGGTGTTGTCGTTGCTTTGTGACTAAATTGAATTTAGTAATCGCTTTTTTATCGACCATTTCAAACTAAAAGGCATACACACACGAAACTCCCCACTACCTGTGTCTATAACATAATTTTTTTTTTTTGCTGTCCCACAAAAGTGGCTTTGGGCACTTTCTAAACCATGTTTTGGCACGTGCACTGCAATGTCCAGTTTTTTTTTTTTGGAGCACACTCCTCTCGATTATCCCCTGCCCACGAAATTGCCGGAGTTTCCCTTTATGACCGCCCTGGGGTGACGGCATTCAGCCAATTGCACAGACAATGACCAGAATGGGGCACAAAAAATTATTTTTATATATATATTTCAGCATGCATTATGGCCAAAAATATACTCTACGGGTAATTTTTATTGAATTAATATGTAACCGATTAGCCCAAAGGGCAATCAAACTCACATTTTGACAATGCTACAATGTAATGATAATATTATTAAGGTAATTAAAAGATTTTAAACATCCCTTGGATCTAGGAAATAAGATATTTTCTTAAATCTTATTATTTTTTAATTTTACATCTTATTTTTTCTGAATTTTTAGCATTATAAATACCCAAAGAGTAAAAATAAATTCACATCCGTTCAGACATTTTCCACTCTCCCATAAAATTCAACCTCAAACACTTATCACGCGATTTAATGATTGCACTTTCGTTTGATTAGCCAGTGGGGTTCATTAAATATTTATGGGTGAACAGACGATTTATAATTTCACCATTTTTTCCTCAATTTATTCAAAACAATTAAACTTAGATACCGAATCGCCTGCATATTTTTTGAACTTGAAAAGCTGGCTGGAATTATGTAAATGCTGGGAAAGGAGTGTACAAAATTAACAGAAATGGAAAGGGGAAAGAGGATTGTATCGTTGGGCTCACGGCTGCGGGTTAACTAAGGCAGCAGCTAAGTCAATAGGACAAGATTAATGCGTGTTTATGCTATAAAACTTCGCCAGGTAATTTATTATTTTATTTTTTAATTAATTTGTACAGTAGCGGAACAATGGGAGTGATTCGCCAATACATAAAAATACAGCATGGTCATAATTTTAAGAAGAAAGATGAAAGAGGAAAAGTGTTGGATAAGGAAAGGCAAGTTTTAGATACTCTATGATTTTTCAGACTTTAATTTTACTTGCAAAATTAGTAGGAAATTTAATTTAAAACATTTTATAAGTGTAAAATATTAAGAGTTATTATTTATTTTCAACCTTAAAGTATAGCTAATAGCTTACGTTAGAGATAGTGTATCTTTTGCACACTCAACCCGATCGCGTGGCTTACCAAAATTGAAATGAAAACTTTGTTAATAATTATGTGGGATGAGCTGATCATATTTTGTGGTTAATTTTCAGACGATGGAAAGTGCAAAGGTGAAAGGATAGACCGGTGAAAGGAATATACTATATACACAAACCAAATAGAACCAGTCCAGGCCCCGAGGGCCTAAATCAATTTGAACGTAATAAGATGGCCACCCTGGTAATTGTCCGTTAATGGCTTCATTACAAAGCCGCAAGACAGCGAAAACGGTAGTTAAAGGCAAAGTCTGAGAAAATAGTAAATAGTATAAACAAAGCAGCAGCAGCAGCAGCAAAGTTGAGACCTGACCTAAGGCAATATAATCAGCCAAGATCCCCTCAGCCCTCCTTCGCTTTGAAAAATTCCCTCCATCATCATTGTGAGTCACAAAGCACGCGACTTGTGGTCACACAAAAACCCCTGAGAAAAAAAGAGTAAATTTATTACGAAAAAAGAGTAAGCATAAGGAAAAAAAGAGAGAAACCAAAGCAAGCAGTGCAAAAAAAACACATTAAATGCAAGCAGTGCGGCGCCAGCGATCAAATAAACAAACGCGCAGCCGCCAAACCACATTCAGTTTCAATTTGAACGCTGCGCATGCGCCGTGTATAAAAAACGAATTCGCGCGCTCCGACCTCTTCGCATCGCTTTTTTCTCTAACCATTTTTTCGGTTTGTTTGTCACAAATCATAAAAACATATTTGATTTTCTTTTAAACTCGCCAAAACCCACCAAAAAAAACCCACAAAGACAAATCGCTTAAATTATGAACTGTCAATATTAGTTACCATTAAAAGCCCGCTGGGTGTTTGTTAAATATTTTCGACATGTGAAAGTTGCCTTTAAAAAAACCCGAAATTATAATTCTTATAAACAAAAAAATTTGCATTTTGGTGTAAAATGACAAAAAATAAATTGTGAAATTTATGAAAAGTGAAGTAGAACAAGTCGAATGAGCTTCATTGTGACCGCAAACAAAACAAATGACCCTCTCGAATGTATCTAGATCTATGTCCCAATTTCTTCGCCAGAGTGAAAGAGAGTTATAGATCTTAAGTTTTTATTGCAAATCAAATGAGTATATTGAGATCTGCTTAGGCTGTAGAAAATATTGCACAGTAAACACAAAGAAAAGTATGTTTATAGAGGCTTAGCGAAAATCTCAAAGATTTCACTTTAAAATAAAAGAAAACCTTTTCCAAAAACTTTTTAGACAGGTTTCCCCCACTCAAAAACCTCTTCAGATTATTGAACAATAAAAATAAATACAAAATGTTTTCAAAACAAAAAGCATTCTTTTCTTTGTCAAGCAAACTAATTTATGCATTCTTAAGATAAGAAGACAACGCCCCTTTCCTAGAACTATATATTCAAAATATTTCCTATGCAAATAGTGTTTGTTTTTTTGTGGTTGTTTTCCGATAATAAACTCAATTAATTAATGGTGTGTGTTTGACCGTGTGTAAAATACTTTCAGTTGCTTAACAAATATGCTTTACTAAGCCATAAACCAAACTGGAATACGAGAAAGTAAATTAAATAATTCAAAGTGTGAGAAGAATCAAGAGGAATAAAATGCGGATCCCCAAGGGAAGATTGAGTGACTGGCTTCTGCCATTGGCATTTGGTAAGTGCAGATCTTTAAATTACCCGGTTTTACCACTAAACCAAACTTAGTTAGAATCGATAGAAACCAGTTTGTTGGTCCCATTTCGTTTTTGTTACTTTTATTTTTGTTGATTGGGTGACTGAACGGGAGCAAGGTCGTTTATGTCGCACTACTAACAATGTCGTTTTATGTTAGCCTGCCAAAACAAAAAAAAATGATATCTTACAGCTTATGCAATTCCTATATCTATCGCTTAACTCCCCCTCAAACTGCCAGGTACTGCAAAAATGCATTGCTTTACAAACTGTCAGGCCATTTCACTGCCGGGCTTTGACCATCAATTGCCGTTGACAATATGAAAATGAAGTTTAAATACCTTGGATGCGACACCGTCCGAAATCCCAAATACGTGCGCAAAGTTGCGTTTTATGTATATTTGTGTATCGTAGCGAAAGTACGCGAAGCGGTGGATCCATCCGTGGATTCATCCATGTCTGCCAGACTCTGGCTCCGGATAATCCGCACAGTGGACACTGGTTTTATGATATTTGTTAACATTAAACCTAGCTTGAGCTTAATTATGTTTTTATAATGATTGGGGAACTTACTCTACTTTTTATAGGCACTAAATAATACATAGGGGGTGTACTTAAAATTGCAATTTAAAAATTTAATTTAAAATAAATTGTTATCTGATTATTCATTTCATCTTAAATATTTCCTAAAAGAAGTTAAATCATCTATTTTCATAACTAAAATGTAGCAGGAAAATTTTCCTATTATAAAAATTACTTTAAACTCTCCCAGCAATAAAGCCACATCTGATAATAACAATCACCTTGTGTCATGGTTAAACATTAATCCTTGTATTGTTGATTATAAATCAATTAATAACGACATAAAAATGACAATTCCACTGTCCAAACGATAGAGTAATCTATGGAAAGCCTCGTATTGATGGAATGGCATACAAATTATTATCGCCATCAACATTGACGACGGCGGCATTCGGTGACGGTGCATTACAGCGCCAAGTGGATATCTAAACTGGACTCCATCCAGACAGACCAACAGAGAGTTGGGAATACGAATTACTAGGGGGAGGGATGGGTTTGATTCATAGTTGAAGCCGTAGCCATGGGCCAAAGTTGAGGTAAACGTGCTCCACATCGAGTGCGCGGCATTTGCACTGGAAAATGCAATTTCCCATCGCGGGAGCAAGGAATTTGTGCATTTGTCTGGCGCACTGACTTCGTGGGAGTTTGGGCAGATGTTTCGGAATTCCAAATGCTGCATCCATGTAAAAAATACCTGGAGCGACCAAAGTTCGTCCGAAAATATTCCAAACTACCTACCTAATACGCCTGAGGATGATGAGAAACAAATTTACTAGAAAGCAGCACACACACACTTCCCATAGCAATTATAATAATAACTTCCTTAAAAATGAGCAACTTGCAAAAAAGAAAAACCAATTACAGTCATCACAGTCATTCATTTAACACCCAAATTCGACCCAAGTTCACTAATAGCCACAACGAAAAGTTTACATTTTACATAATTTGCCAGTTTTGTCAACTTTCTGCGGTGCTTAATAGTTGCAGACCCACAATTTGAAGGTCCATAAATTTTCTTTGGGGCAGAGACAACCAACAGCTGCACATAGTAACTATATATATATATATGTTAAGGAAAACAAGATTTTTCACTTCCACATGGGTAGGAAAACAGAAACAAAAGAGGGGGAGTTTGGGGCGTGAAAAGAAAAAGTAAAATGTTTGCCGAAAAAAACAATAAAAAAAAGAAAAGAAAAAAACCACAAGTTGGCGGACATTGTGTGTGTCAATGACTCTGAAATGATTTCAACGCGAATTTCTCGTTTCGCTTCTCATTTCGCCGTTTACTTACATTTCACTGATCGGTGATCCACAACCGCGGGTCAGCGCCGTACGTGGACTTTATTAGCAATTGGATAATTGACATAATAAGATGGTCAAACGGATAGAAAGCAGCCAGTGCTGCGCTTCGTGGCCTCTGAGATTGATCTATTTCGAACCACTTTCGAGTGGCAAGTGAAGCTACTTGAATGTTTAACACTCGTTAATTTAAGATATGTGACTTCTGAAGATCAGATAATAAACCTAAAATGCAAATCATAAACTCTTTATAAAGGTAATTTTTCTTTACTACACTTAATATTTAAAGAATTTTTAATAAATATCAGTTCATTTATTTAATTTTTCTGATTTTGGTTTATGTTTTCTCAACGTACATGAAAGCAAACTAAATTTTTGGGTTTAACAAAATCGTTTTATTTCTAATCCCATTTAACTACTTATTTTTTACGAAAAATATTATACAAATTTCCATTTCTAAAGGCACAAAGTCACCCGGATATATTATTAAATAGTTTTAAAAATTCTACACGGGGACTTTTCTAAAATAAACAACAGAATCAGTACAATAACCTATTCCTAACCAATTTGTCAACTACAGATCGGCGCAGATAGCATTCACTTAAATGTATAAATATAAAGCTCAGTTTTAAGCTAATATTTGTGAATATTTCCAAGAATATTTAGCAAGTCAGAGAGCTTTTGATTATCTTATATCTCAATTACCGGCTATAAAAAAATATCTGATTTGCGCTACGCTATACAATGAGCTGGTTTTAAGCTGCAATTCATTTTGTTGGCAATTAATAATAGTTAAACAATATGAATAATAACAATAAAGACTTTTTAACACTCTAGAGCCGTTGCATTTTTTAACTTTGTACTTTTTATCTTAAAGTTGTGCTCTGTTTTTAAAAGTTTGCTTAATTCTGAAACACAATTTGATTACTATATTTACTATTCAGTATAGAAAATTATTAATTTATAAGCTCACTGTAGTTTAAAATTTATCTTGTACTTTATTTTTAGTTTCTACGCAGTTTTTTAGGCATAATGACAAAATTGTTGTTCTTAAGTAAACATAATTTAAAGCAACATTCTAAAAGAACATACGAATCTGTCATAGTTTTTCCATTAATCACAGTTCTCTACAAATTCAAAGGGGGGTCCAAAAACCCTATAAACTCCTAAGCCGGTTAAAGCAACAACACTCAGTGTGAATCGTATAAATATTCACAGACGCGGATTCGAGAACCTCAGTTTCCATACTAATAATCAGCGAATGAGATGCACGGCAGCAGCAGACTGACTGTGACCTTGGCCTTAGCCTTCCTGCTAACTTATTTGGGATGCACCCAAGCCCAAAACCAAGGTGACCTTTTCCGTTGCAATGTGCAGTACCGATGCTCGGATGAGAAACAGTTGGTTTGGGCCGTGGCAGACGAACGTTGCCATGTCTTTCACAATAGCTGTTTGCTGAAGGTGGAGCAGTGTGCCCGAAAAAACAGTGGAAAAACAGATCTGATTGAGACCACTAAGGAAATCTGCAAGCCAATGTGCACTAAGGTCTGTCCGGATGTCTACGATCCGGTCTGTGCACAAATCTTTCAGGAGGAGTACATAACTTTTAGTAATGAGTGTGAAATGCGAAACTATATTTGCACCAATGAGAGGCGTAAGTTTAGGATTAAAAAAATAACAGAAAGTTCTTTTTTAACGTAAGTTTAATTCTGATTTTAGCTTACTCCTACTTTGCTGTGGGCGAATGCGTTGAGAAACCAAGTGGTTGAGTTTAAAACGATCAAAAATATTTATGAAATAAAAAAATGTTTGCAGAATAATCCTAACTGCTACTGCTTTTAAAGCTATTTTTTAGTATACCAAACTAAACGTGTTTTCTTTTTTTTACCATACAAAAGTTTCTCACTTTTGTCCAAACAACTAAAGCTTACTTTTGGCTTCAGCCGGACATGACACGTACTATTCGGTCCCTAAATGCGATTTAACCCAATTATTTTGGAGCGCCTTGACCAAAAACAGGATTTGCAACACAGCAGCAACTACAGAAAAAAAAAATAAGTAAACTAAATGAAAATAAAAGCAAAGCTGTCCGCAGACAGATATGTTGCAATCATGTCTTTAATGCTTTTAAACTGGCCAACAACAAGTTGCACAACTTTTACGCAGCCAAAGTGGCCTCAGCAATATTCAAGTTCAATGTTGTCTGGCTTTTCCAAGTGGCCAGCGCCACCACACGCTTCCACCACTCGCTTCCTGATTGGCCGCGATTGATCGGATTTAATTAAGGAAAAATTTTGCATTTGCAATATGCAAAAAGAAAGAAAAAAAAAACTCATTTGAGCTGCAGCCACAAAGAAACTCCGCAGCGCCAATGTCCTCGGGGCCGTCGTTTCGCAATTACGCGATGTCCGAGAGAGCTGGTGTGGTGGTTGCAAAAGATTTTCCTCAAAGTCCCCATCGAAATCTGTCCAGGCTGTAGCAGTTCCAGCCCACAGATTTGCTTTCATTTGAATTACCTTGGTTACTTTTCATTATACTCTATCAAGGGGTGGCATTCCTTTTTGAAGCTGACAAAGATGTTTGGGGAAAACTAAAATTACTAACAATTTAAAGGCAAGCAAACATATTTATGAAATATAAATCTTTGGGTTAAGTAAATAATGAATATAATAATATGAATAATTCTTAATATTTAATATCAATTTCTATCAAAATTCAATCACTTTGAGTCCTTAGTTTGAAATGAAAACTCTTCTATATTAATCCTTAAGATTGTAAATTAATCTCTAGCTGTATCTCAAGAGTATTTGAAACCTAAAGCCTCCTCCTTTCTTGCTTGCCATTTTCATTTGGATTTGCATTTCTTGTACATTTTCTTGCTCTGAAAGTCTCTCATCCACTTTTCACCCAATGGATTTGATTGTTTTATGGCCGTTGGCAAATTTACACAATCCCACCATGCCGAATAGTTATCAACTTGTCCGAGAAGCGAACTGCAAGTCAAGTGCCTTGCCTTTCCACAGGCGGAAGACTTACTACTTACTATGCTCTGTCGAATGCAAATTTCCCACAGCAAAAATACAAAAAAAAAAACTAAAACAAGCCCAACGCCTTGTTCGACGCCTTCGATAATAACTTAATTGATTTATAGATCTCTCTCTCTCTCTCCCTCTAACCAATATTTGGACGGTCCCGTTTCTGGCTTTTGTCATCTTGCGGGGGTCGGCCAATCAAACAAAAGAGAGAAAAATAAAGAAACCGGTAATAAGAATGTGTTTTTAATTTAAGTTTGATATCTTTGGGTCATTATGTTTTGATTGTCTCATCTCGACTAATGACAAAATTTGAAAGTCAAACAGAGCATATATTCAAAACTCATTTGTTTCGCTCTCTAATTAACAAACAAAGAGAAGTTCATGTGTTACAATTTTACCTCCAAAGTGAATTCGCAAATGAAAATTGCATAAGGAAAACCAAAAACAAATAATTTACTTCAGGGGAAAATTAAGCGCTTGGCTGGCTTTAAAATTAAGGAAAAATTCATTACGCACAAAAGATTTTGAAGTAATGGAAAAGTTTGTAGAGATAAAGATATTTTTTAAGTTTAAGTAACAGCTTTTTCTGCAGTAAAACATTAAAAATATATTTTCAAGACTAGCTTTACATTTAAAAATGTAATAAAATCAAAACAAATGCGTATTTAATAGCACTTAAACTAATATAGATGTGTAAAAAGATAACTTAATTGTAATTCAATAAAAAAATGTAAGAAGCCTTACTAAGAAAGTTAGTTAAAAACCAATAAAAATTATAATTTTAAACTGATTTCGTTTAGGAAGTCGGCCTAACAACCAAAATCAATTTATTTATATATTCAAACTCATATAGACTTTAAAAACTCATAACCATAAAAAAGAGTTCTTTAAGGAAGTTTTACCATTTAAAACGAATTTGAAAGTAGTTTTTGCCAAGCCACCAAATATGGATTTTTTAAATCTATAAATTTGACTATCAATTTTTATGAATCCATGGAAGTGCTATGAATTTTTTTTTTTAACAACATTTTCAAATTAAATCACTGCAATGTGGCACATTGAATCATAACCAAAACATTGACTAGACAGACATTACCTCACACGACCGTAAAAACTGGGCTAAAAGCAAAAGCCACAAAAATAATAAGAAGTGAATAAGAAAAAATTGCATGAGCAGATGCCTTGAATAAAGCCAGCATGGAGTAGAAAGAAAAACCCCTGGCTTTAGGTGTAAACTGTGTGAATATTTTTCGGTTATTACACGCATTTTGTTATTATTATATGCCTACCCTACCCCTTACTTTACCCTCTTGCATTTATTATTATTATTTTTTGGCAACAACACCACGAAGCCTTTTGGCCAAATAAAGTCTTAAATGAAAAATGTCAACACATGAGACACAATGTTTTCCATGATTATTAAAACGAGGCAAGTGAAGAAGTGGAGTAAAGGCGGGGTGGCATGGCAGTAGATGATGTGTAATGCCAACAAAATGCCGCATTTGGTAAGAGACATTCCATTGTTATTGTCGGCGGTTGTAACTGTAACTGAGCCTATAGCCAACTCAGAAATTGCCGATATACTAAGTGCAATAACGATGGTCTCGTGCGTAACTTAAACGAGGAACGTAGTTGAGTTTGGGTAAGGCGAAGGAACTAAGTACCCTTTAAAAAGAATCTAGCATGAAATTCTATAAATTTATTCTTTACAAAGAAATGTTATTACTATAAAAACATTAAAGTAAATATCAATATTCCATAACCTATTCTAAGTTCTTTCATATGCAATTCCCATTTGAATTGCTCAATTTTGTATCTTATTTTTTCAACCTTTTACCACAGAAAAAACTCTAGCTCATCCATAAGTTATATATACCCTTTCTACAGAGTATTAAAATCAACCAAGCCGCCGTCTTGAGATGCTTATATACATTTTTCATTCACCTGATGACAGTTGACAGCATGACATAATTTGGGTATTGTTGTTTCTGGTTAAAGTCTCGGTTCGCCTTAGTAAAATTGTGTGCCACCCAGCTTTTTGGGCCAAGAAGTGTTGGCATTTGGGCTTTAATTAGTGGTCTAATTACCAAGCAAGTGATAGATGTATGAACTATGCGTTGGCCCACCATAGTGAAAGTTTCAACAGGCAGCTGAAACAAAAATATTTGTGGGACCAATTGGCGCGTGTTAAAATAAAACCCCATGACTTTTAAAATGCTACTCCACCTGCATAGATGAAATTACTTGGATTAGAGCCAAGTTAAATCACAGGGTTGACAAATATGGCTAACTGGCTAACTGAAACCGAACCCGTCTCGCACTTGTTGCCTTGTTGATTGGTCAAAATAGCTGCATAACTGAAATCGCTTGACTTATTGCAAATAAATTATATACAATAAGCGAACATCACTTGATTCGAGATGCGAATTGAAGATGGAACAGGTTAATTGGTTAAAAGTTAGCCTGCTGAAGTCGGTATTCCATTGATGTAATGACGGTGATCACAGGGAATTTAAGTAGGCTCAATCAAACGGGAATTTTCTTTCACTCATCGGTTCAGTGAATGTGGTTTTCCTTGGTGGATTTAAAAGGTTTGCATTTGAATTTTATTAGGTCATAAAGTGCAGAAATTTTGTATCTGCAAATTATTTATGGGGTTTTTAATTAATATTAATCGTTTAGACAAATACTTTTACCAGCAAATCTTTCTCTCCCTTTTAAAAGTTAATTAAAAAGGAAGGCTAAAATATATTATTTTATAATCAATAGATTTAAAATCTAAATAAGGCGTGAATCAATCAAAAAAATCTGTTAATATTCAAGGAAAACATAAACAAGCCAAACCAGCCAACTTTAAATAGAGGAAATGACTTACAGAAACTCAACGACAACCTTAAAATATCTTAAGTCCCATTTAAAACTAATATATCGAAAAGTAAATACCCTGTGATTCCCCTATTCCTAAGAAACAAGACTAAATCATACATTGAATCATCACATTACCAATACAAATTTAAAGTCTTAAACTGAGCAGGAAAATCAAATCAAATCAAGGTGTTGTGGCAATTTTCAATTACATTTTCCGTTGCATTGCACACGACCAATTGGACACGCCAACTGTTATATCAAGATATAGAGATATAGAGATATATATCGCAAAAATATTGCACGAAAGAAAACCAATTTTGTTACAAGATTAACCCATATTTCGCAGACGATGTCAAACTGACAGAAAATACAAAAAGAAAACCAAGTCAAAGTAGAACAAATGAGAATCTGATCTAGTTTAACCTAATAGTTTCAGGTTGCTACTCTGATATTAATACTCAATGATTAGTGGTTCGACTAACTCTTAGATTTATATGGCAGTAATTAATCTTTCGTAGTCACTAATTTGCTAATGTTACTCATTTGTCAACCAAGATAGTCAAGGCTGATCGTGCGGTTGCTTAGCGGGTGATAATTTATGGCCACTTTTACTCAAATATTTGTTTTGACTCCCCGACGGGTTTTTCATTAACCCAATTAGGGTCAAATCAAACCCCATCTGACCTCTTTCACTGGCCTTTAACTCAAATTATGATCTCTCTGTATTTCCCTATAAGAAACACTGCCTTATAATTAATAAAATCGCTTTGGAATGGAGTGATTATCGTGCTGTAAAGTTACCAACATTTACATTAATTAACTGCAATTAAAACTGGCCACTGGCCAGTGTATATTTATCAACTAATTGATGAAGTTGAAGGTTGCTGCACGGATAAGCTAATTATTATGTTTGGATTACGGGATTAGCCAAGCGTTTTTCTCTCTCACTCATTCGCTTTTT